TCATAAGTGAACAGACAAAGATGCATGTACAAATGAATATTTCATAAATGAAAAAGCAAAGATGCATATACAAATGAACAAGCAAAGATGCATGTAGTAAATGAATATTTCATAAATGAACAGGCAAAGATGCATGTACAAATGAATATTTCATATATGGATAAGCAAAGATGCATGTACAAATGAATATTTCATAAATGAACAAGCAACGACGCATGTAAAAATGAACAAGCAACGACGCATGTAAAAATGAACAAGCGAAGATGCATGTACAAATGAATACATCACAAATGCACACATCACAAATACACATATGCATGTACGAATGAATATTTCACTTGTATAATTAGAATTCTAATTCCAGAAACAAATATACCACTAAGCAACATATAAAATTTGTCCATTCCTGCCTCCAGTTATAATTCCACGGTTGAATTTCCAGCGTCTCGATCTCGCGTAAACTCGCGTATACCATTCTGTTATTTCTCGCCATACGAAGGGTCGATTTCGATCACCGTTGCACGTATTGCGCGAAGAAGTATTTATTCTGTTCATCGATTCGAGGAGAGGCATACTGGTTAACACTTTAAAGCGCGCGTTATTTTTTTTTTCTCATAAAGAAGCGAAGCAAATACAGATAGAAACTACTGGGATGATACGAATTCGTTGGCGTTATGTTTCACAAAAGACTCAAGCCGCAAGTAGAAGAATACGTGAACTTAAGAAATTTGGTATAGCGAATAAGAGAAAAATATCGCCAGACGTTTAAAAGTATAGTATCGTCTCGAAACATGTATCCTACTCGGTTTGACTTTGTTCCAACAACGACAAAAAAATGCAACTTTGCGCGCGTTTGCCACCCCATATGTTCGATGCGAAACGTCTGGAAATATTTTTTCGTTACGCGCTAACGTGTGATTGATCGCTGTACCAAAAATCGACCATTTAAAAATCGCGCGATCTCGTTACTTTTTCAAAATACTCGTCGCTGACGATTATTACGAATCACGTGTATCGAACGTCCACGGTACAGTGGATGTGGGAAGGGGTTATTCAGAATTAATTAATCGATGTGTAGAAAATTTGATGTTTGGATCAGTGCCGTCTTAACGCGTGAACTCGCTGGCTACTTTCACGGTGGTCCCGCGAACTAAGTGGTTAATTTGTGCAACGTTCGTTACGAAAGCGAACCGTGATCTTTGGGTGCAAAGTTTGCGATTACCTCCTACATCGACGAGTCAATTCGACAAAATTATCGGTCCCTTTCATTTTCTTTTTTTTTTTTCTTTTTTCGTTCTAGCTTTTAATTAAGGGTCCAGTGGACCGATGTGCACAGGGGGTGCAGTTAAGACGGCCCTGGTTTGGATTCGTTGGGAGGTGCCTAATCAGATAGCCGTTTCTTTACCCCGCCATAGTGTTGTTTCATTTCCGAGCAACAGTGTGTGCAATGTGTATTGTTTGTGGTGTGTAGGGGCAAGTATCGTTATGAAACTGCGCCGCCTGAGTGCCTCAAACTTTCGCGTCTCTAATTGCAATTTAATCGCTACGAATTCAACGTGTACGCGAAAAGAAACGCAACGACTACAAACGACTATCGTTCGTATATTCCCGCGACTGTCTCTACGTCGATCTATCGTTAATTATCGCTACAGTGTGAACGTACGGAAGGGGGATGAATTTTCTTTTCGGGCAACGCTGGATTCGTTGCGTTTAACATCGGAACTCTGTTTGGAACTTTACATCGGTTCGTATACGTGTTTGGTACGTTAACGGTACTTTTTAATTCGGTTAATAATCGCACGCGATTGCGTACACATCGAATTGAATTCGCTGGTAGCGAAGTTACTATTGACATCTCACAGGGAGCGGTGTCGAGAAAGAATCTACGTGATACCTGGTAATCGCGTATTGCGCACTCCCATTATCATCGAATAGATCGAAACATGGCCGTGGGGACTGTATATATCATTTGCGCGCGGTATTTACGACTATAGAACTAAAAGAAGCTGGATTACGTAACATGTGAGATTAGTAAACATGTTGTTAACACCACCTAAAAATAAAATACACATTACAGACATCGACACAACCGGGGGGGGGGGGGGCGGGGGTTGGGGATGATTACTGTGGAATTAATCAACATTTTCTATGTTATGTAAATCGAGCTCTCTCTCTCTCTTTCTCTCTCTCCCTCTATACTTTACAATTACTTTTTGCGCCCATGTTCAACGAGTGACTTTCGTATTTGAACGTTGTAGAATTTTGGACAATTTGTTAAACTTTGTCTACGAACGACGACTTGACGCAGACAAAGTTCCGAAAGCGACGAAATAAATATTGTTGAACTATTCGAATACTAAAGTTACTCGTGATATACGTGTGTCTCTACGTTTCTCTGTATTGTATATACATACAGGGTGTCCCGAAAATGTTGAAGGTCCTTGAAACCTTCAACATTTTTGGGACATATGTGCAGGTATATTTACACATACATGTACAAACCACATTGTACATATTTACACCTTACACTCTAACGAACAAAGTTTGATTGATGGAGCAAACGAATGCATCGATACTATACATCGGGATGAAGGTTCGTCTAGCTCGTGTCTGATTAATGATCATCGGCAACTAGGCTCGATCAACCCACGTGATTTCGATCTGGCTTCGTAGAAGGGAAAGGAGATCGAGTAGTTCGAGGAGATCGACGAGTTCGTTTAACAATGTTAATCTCTGTTAGAAATCAATATTAAGAAATAAAAGTAATCGCTCGAGGGTCGTTAACTTTCATTCCTAGACGTTTCAACCGAACCCAGTTATTTTGAAACGTTCATCAAGATACGTTTGTAAAATCGATCTGGCCGTATAAAACGAAAACACGATAAGATTTGTTATTAACACTTTCGCCGCGGATGATGCACATGTACGTCCAACTGAAAATATTTGGTTGTTTTTATTATTTTTCAGTTTTTATTTTTTTTTTTTTTTTTTTTTTTTTGTTCAGCAATCATATTATATATAAAATAAGTTACCACAAATATATGTTTCTCAAAATAATCATATTAGAACATTTGTAAGAAATTTTTCATTAAAAAATTATCATAATTGCGGCTCTCAGCGAACGGCTACTTATTTCCGTTCGCAGCGAAAGTGTTGGAACATTCTAATCGATCTTGGTCCCGTCGGTAGGCAACAAATTAACATTGATTAAGCGTTACTCTTTTTCCGTTTCGTTGAGTGTAATTAAAAATTGGACGGGATTGTCGTCGACGATTATCGAAATAACCGAAAGCCAGAATCAAAACCCGATCGATCGACTTGCTATCTCGGTTAAAGGTTCTACAGTGAGATTATGTTAAAAAATTCGCATACGTCGCAAACGTTCTCACTACGGTTCTGTCTATATGAGAGCTACGTAGAATCGATGCTCTACTATCAACATGGTAATACCTTTCGTCAAATTAAGGCAATCCAGCACAAACTGTAAACGTGGAGACATTGTAAGTGGATTAGTGACAAAATTTCAACGAGTTCTCGCGTTATTAGAAAATCGGCCGAGTTCGTTTCCCGATGTTTTACTAGAACAAAGTTTATGTCGTGGACAAACGACACGTTGATCGCCGCCGCGCCCGTTAGAACCGATATTAGGCTTAACGATAAAAGTAAAGAACAAGAATGAAATATGCGAAATAAAATTAAAGAGCGAAAGATACTCGATGTACTTTATAAACGTATAAGATTCACGTAACTCGGTCGGCAGAATTTCTTCAACGACAAACGAAGTAAAATCTCGATTATGGTAAAAATCGTAATCCAGAAAGGAATGTCGATAGAGGCGATCAACGTCTCTCCGTTAAAGGTCGAACGTTTGCACGGATCTATCGAACGAGAAACGCGATGGAAACACGAATCGGTCTGCCGAATCTAAACTGGGTCTAATCGCTATCGGCGAGCAACGTAAGAAATTCGAAACGCGATCAACAATCGGCGACCCTCGGTCTCGTCAATGCCGCAAGACGCATCGTCGTTTGCGACAACTCGAGCGTCTTGGCCCAAGTTCAAATTCCTCCTCCCCGGTAATCCAATCACCGGATACCATCCCGAAAATCGTCTCCAAGAGAGATCCGATCTTACGAGAGATATCCTCGGAGGCCGATATTTGCGCAACACGATACGAAAGAAATCGACGTCGTACAAGGCTCGACACCGTCGACAACTAACGACTCACCCGTGCGGCGATGGAGGTGGTCGGCTTCTCCAGCAGATCCCAGAGCCACTTCTGATATTGCGCGCACTGTCCATCGCCGAACTCCTCCTCCTCCCTTTGCCTGAGAGACTCCGCCTCCTTCCGCATCTCCTCGTGCACGTGCTCCTTTCTCTGATGGTACTTGTGCTGGCAACAGCTCTCGAGGTAGAGCTCGTCGACGCCCCAATACTCTAGGTCGTCGCTGAACGCCAGCACGCACATCTCGTCAACCAGATGGAGTTTACCGGTACGATAGAAATTCAGTATCGAGCTGAAGGACTTTGGGTGACGATCGAAGAAGTACTCGTTGTCGATCAGCGAGTAGTCGTCGCATAGCTCGGTGATCGCCTCGTGGGTGTTGCAGTCTTTCAGACGGCCTAGACGCGTGTGGGGCAGCCTTTCTAAGGTACGCCAGAGCACCTCGTGTTTCACGCCGCCGACGTTTATCGAGACCCGACGATTTAGGGCCTTCGATCTCATGATCATGAACGGTTCGGGCGGTAGGGACGTCATCGACCTCGAGAACGCACGCTGCTGTTGCATCTGCAGCGGCAGGGGCGGCGGCGGTGGCGGCGGCGGCGGTAACGGCGGCGGCAGAGGCGGCGGCAAAGGCGGCGGCGGCAGGTTCACAGGCGCCACGGTACCTGCGGGCCCCACGGACGACGAGAACGGGGCGTAACGTACCTCCTTGTTCATTCCACCGCCTCCTCCGCCACTTCTTCCTCCACCGACAACGGCGATTCCTCCTCCCGTCAGTCCACCGCCCATTATGATCCCTGGCCCTATCACTCCCGCCAGGCTTCCGGAACCGATACCGACTCCGAGACCTCCTACTCCCACTCCTCCTCCGCTACCGGTGCAGCTGGCGACGGATGCACCAGCTGCACCGGCCCGCTGCAACGTCGTCGGGCCGCCACCCTCGAACACGAAGCCCTGGTCAGTCGCGATGTAGGGCACCGTGCACGACGACGATGACGACAGCGCCGGGCCCGTGACCACGGCGCTTCCATTGCGTTCCCCGTCCGCCAGTGTTGACACGTCCTCGAACCTCTTTTTGTTCAGCATCAAGGGTAATCCAACCAACCGGAACTTGCGCTTTTCTACGCCGGCACCCCCCTTCGTTCTACTCTTTCGATAGCTATCGTCTGCTTCTTCGCGGTCTTCTTCGTCGTCTTCCTTCTTCGTCTTCCTCCTCCTCCTCGTCCTCGTTACCCTTCTTGCGCTTCATCCGTGCCTACGTCTGTCCTCTTGCGTTGGCCCGGCCGAACCGCGCCATAATCTGAAACAGAACATTCGGGGAACGTTAATTCGCATTGCTTTACTCGCTTTGCTTTATTAGACCGTTAGTGTATTATTGCAATCCGTACATCTCCTACGAGTTCGTCGAGTTTCGTATATTCTTCGATGTTTGCCGCTGACCGTCATTCATTTATTTAAAGTGCGTAACTTATTATACAAAGTTACTGCACTACTGCTTATTTATTACTAGCTTATTTCCATTCTTCTTATCATTGTCTTACACGACTCCTGCGTTGTTTTAATACTGTCTGCAGTATCTCTTACTTCTCTTTGCCGGTGAGCGTCATTATCGTCGGTATCGGTAAACTTCAGATTTATTCGAAGCCTAGGGTTTTGCCCATCACTTGTACACTTCAACAACGTCCTCTTATTTGGAATCGTTTGCGAAGAAATATTTTCATACTCGACTCTCGATGTACATAGTTTTCGGTATTTAAAACGAGTAACTTGTCGTTAACACTAACTCGACGACTAAATATGTATGTAGATCGATTGCTCTTTAACGATGTTAATAAGAAAATGATCTCACTGTATTACGTACTAACGCGTTCACGCCGGCGTGTAACACCGGTGGCTCACGCTCGCGTGCTATCTGGTGGCGTACACCACCGGAGCCGCCCCATGGCGAGAAACACAAATAACAGGTCGGCGTGAACGCGTTAAAAAATGAATACTGTGAAATAATTTTTCATTTAGGTACATTACTAAAAAGCAACGAATCTCGGTTACCTATATATTTTGACAATTTGTCGAGTTTGTTTTTCAAATAACATAATATTGTATACGTATTGTACAACGAAATAATAATGTTCGTTCGTTCGTTTATTTAAAGTGTGTAACTTATTATACAAAGTTAATGTATAATATTATTACTACTGCTTACTTATTACTAGTGTAGTGTCCGCGCCTCCCATACCCAACAATAAGGAGTCAAATAAGAACACGAAACGTAGGGTACGGGATTGGTCGCGTAGGTAAAGCGGTCGACTGTGGATCCCGAGGATCGTGACTTCGAATCCCCGCGCCTTATTTTTCGGTTAGACTCCTACATATGGGGGCTCGTCCGGGATGGGGGGTTACAGCGGCAACTATACCGAAAAGGACCGACCAGTGACGATGAGTAACGATGAACAACAATGAGAAACGAAAGACGGGTGTCGTGTTGACGGTGGAGCGGGCGGGCAGCAGTGTGGCGTCGAGAGAGAAAGAGAGAGGGGAGTACACTCCAGGGAAGGCAACCTTGAGGTGTTGTCGGAGTGGGACTCTCAAAAAGAGGAGAAACGGCGAAAGAGGGCGCGCACTGCTGTTGAAACGCAAAAACCGAGAAGACGGACATTATTCGAGAGCGAATGTCAATTCAGGATGATCGAGTGTAGTGTCCGCGCCTCCCATACCCAACAATAAGGAGTCAAATAAGAACACGAAACGTAGGCTACGGGATTGGTCGCGTAGGTAAAGCGGTCGACTGTGGATTCGAGGATCGTGGGTTCGAATCCCCGTGCCTTATTTTTCGATTAGACTCCTACACTAGTTTATTTCCATTCTTCTTATCATCGTCTTACATGACTCCTGCATTATTTTAATACTGTTTGCAGTATCTCTTACTTCTCTTTGCCGCTGAGCGTCATTCATTCATTCATTCATTTATTTAAAGTGCGTAACTTATTATACAAAGTTATTGCATTACTGCTTAGTTATTACTAACTTATTTCCATTCTTTTTATCATCGTCTTGCATGACTTTTGCATTATTTTAATACTGTTTGCAGTGTCTCTTACTTCTCATCTATCATCTATCAGATAGATTCTATCTCATCTTCTCACTCTAGCTCGGGTACCTCGGGTTTGCTAAGCCCGTACTGTAGCTGCATATTCGCACGCTACAGCCCCTGAGGGCTCGCCTCCAACTAAAATTGAATAACTATTTATAAAAATAGTAGCTTCAAAAAGGACTCGTCACTGAGCGTCGAACGTCGACAACGTTTTACCGACATATGTACCTCGGTGTTTTCGCTCCGTCCTCTTCTTTTATTCGCTGTCCTTGTCTACGTTCGACGCTCGGCGTAAATATCAGAGAATATACGAGCTCCAGGTTAGCCGCACAAGGTCGGTCCCGATTTTCTGCTCTTGACAAGACTTTCGTAACTCGGGAACGCTGAACCCGTACTCTAATTCGTACTTAATCCTTCGCGACCTTTCGTGGTTTGTATCACGTGACCGTACACACTGTGTCCTATACAATGGCGCACGACCACCATGGAGCGGGACGAATAGAATCGATATGTACTTGGAAATGTTGTGATTTGATGGTAGAAGGTTACTCATGAGTTGTTTTTGTGACGTTCCGATGATATACAGGGGTGGACAAAAATAACTTCGACGTTGATTACAACGAATGTTCGTAATCAAAGTCTCGAACTCTCGGAAAATTTGAAAAATCAAATTCAATGATCGAAACGGGAAACTCCGTGTCTTTGGGTGAAGAATTTTTCAAATACAGTCAGTGTAACGAGTATACTGCGGATCTTTATGCAAAATAAAATGTTGGCGAACACAAAAATTGTCTAGAAAAATTGAACCTGCATAGGAATTTATTTTATTCTGCAAATATTATAACACGAACCTTACTTTCAATCTTTTCTTATTCTTGTATATTGTTTGCATTTCTTGCACATTCAAATTTCCTATAAATGCATAAAGATCCGCAGTCTGGTAATAAGTATTCGTACAGAAACCCATTTGTTTGAATAAACCTATGGAAAGAGTCTATTTTTCAAGTTCTTTTTGAGGGTAGATATGTAAAAAGTTGGTAAAAAGTTTATATTGCCCACAAATCCCTCATCTTGATCGTTTGAGTGCCACGCATCTTTCTTTTTTCCGGTTCGAAAATTGCAAAGTGGCACGATTGCCTGCTGCGAAAGGCTTCACAGCCCATGGCGAGCCCTTTGAGGACAGGACAAGAGAAGCACGTGCCACTCAAACGGTCAACACATTAAACGCCACGTCACCCACGTATGAGTGACGGAGCTTTTTTACTAAAGAACTTCAACAAATAATATAAACGACTAACTATTGATGAAAGCAGGTCTGGATAGTATTCGTTAATTTTGATGAGAATTCAAAAAAATAAGTATTACGACAAATATTAGATTCTATAGTTTCTAATTGTCTCGAGACGAAATTTTAGTTCTGTGGAGACTTCCATGCGAATGAGTGTGTGCCAGTCATCGTGTTAATAAAATATATTTGTTTTAATTTTGTGAATTGAGGAAGAACATGGAAGAATTAAGAGAATTAAAATGAATAAAAATAATATTAATACCCTTCCAAGTTTATTAGGAATACCACAGTTCTCATTTTCGAGAATCTATTATTCGGAACACCGCGTACAAAAGCGATACAACATAACCCATAAAGCTCCACCGAGGATGAAACGAAGATCGTGTTCCCTTTATCGATTCGACCTAACGTTACGAATTGATTCTACGCTATATTAATACACATTTTGCGGTACGTGCACACTCGCGTGTACACGTGTTGCACAATGCGACCGAATAATACAAGTTATTTCGACCATTCCCTGAACAGCGACCCCTTCTTAACGCGATCCGAGTTATTGCAGAAACGAATTTTTATCGTGTTCTCGCATAGAAAATCGCCAACTGACCGGGCTGGTTACGCGCGACAACAAAGGAGTTTGTCGCGCAGAACGAGGGCAAATTTCGAATCTGATATCATCGTCTGGCCTCCTATTTTCGATGCGCGCATCCGAGTACGTAAGTGCACCTTTATTACAGCGACCAGCAGGCCAACGTTTCATCGGCGTTTAAAGAACCGGAGGGGGAAAAAAGCGGCAAGGGAAAAGGAGAAAAGAAGGAAAAAGTATGTTTGCCGCAAAACATTATGTACGGCTAGTACTATTTATATGCGAGGTTAATACTCCCCGACCTAGATTCTCTGCGCAAAGGCACCTGTCCCGATAGTCCTGATTCAATCGCACGTGGTTCCGTGCGGACTCCGGATCGGTGTATAACGAGAACAATTACTTTGACGAAATGCAACGTGCCGCGACACACTCGTTACCCCGCGCGCGATAAGGAAAACGGAAGACTGGTGAAATATCCACGCGATATTTCCAACGGGTGGCGACAAACGGTCGCGTATAGACGGGCATATGCGTATGCAATTTACGTAAGAGTCTGCTATATTGTTGTACGCGAAGGAGAAAGAAACAACACGGTGCAGTCTGTATAGTATACCGTGTATACTCGAGCCGCTCGAGTTGACCCAATTTCGCGCGGTATTCCAAACATTTCCTACCAAGTTCAACGATCACTTTTCAAGAAAATTCCGAACAAGTGTACCTGCACCCTTTCTGATGGGCTCAGAAAGAAATAATTTTTCTTTTTTTGTTTGTTACCAGTGGCGATAATTCGGTATTCTTTTTAATTGCATTTATTGGAACGTTCGTTTATATTCTTATACATACGGGGTGTCCCAAAACTGTTGGAGGTCCTTGAAAGAGATGGTTCGTGAGATGATTTGAAACAGCTGTTTCCTTAGCGAAAATGTTGTACGAGGCTTCGTTAAGGGAGTCATCCCGTGTGACGGTCGTTTTTTATAAAGTTCTCTCGTAATTTTTTATAACGAAATGAAAAGATACAGAGCTTTAAACATTTTTACTATATATTTATTTAGCCTTCAACTGTAACTTTGAATTTTTTTAAGCAAAAATATAACGCGGATCGCGAGATTTATTTTAGGAAAAAGTTGTTTCCCACGAACTACCTCTTTCAAGGACCTCCTTGGGACCTCCAACATATTTGGGACAGCCTGTATACAGTCCATCCCACAAGTATTCGTACCTTTTACGTCTGTTGAAAACATTTGTCTAAATTAATTAACACAGGCTCGATGTTTCCAAATCAGTTACTTATAATGAATCATTTGTTTGGAAGTATCAAACCTGTCATTTAATTTTGACAAATTTCTTCAATAAATATACACAGAGGTTACGAATACTTATGAGTAGACTGCGGATCTTTACGCATTTATAGGAAATCTGAATGTGCAAGAAACTACAAAATGCAAACAATGTGCAAGAATATAAAAAAGATTGAAAGTAGAGTTCATGTTATAATATTTGCAGAATAAAATAAACGAACGTAGGCACGTTCGCGAAAATTTTATTTTCAATGAAGATTCGTAGTCTACTTATGAGACTGGCTGTAAATATTAGTTTGCTTAATTAAATGCCCCTAGCCGGCACACGAAACGCAGACATAATTTAATTTGTAATTAACATATAATCCATGTACTTCGTACAAAATTGTTTCCATGTACAAAATTGGTACTATTCGCATAGTTTGGTCGTCGACGATCGATGTACGCCACAAGTGCATACGATTTGAAAAAATTCGTTAATTCCCGATGAAAAAAGACAAGAGCAGCAGGCAGCGTAGCGCCAGCTATAGCTATTTTTACGACAGCTGATAGAACTAATTTGTGATGAGAGAACTATTTCTGCTCTTTACCGAACAGCGCGAGGTAAAAACGTGGCCACGGTCAATAGCGTTAATTTTTAGCAATGGAAGATGGAGAATAAAGAATAGAGGATAGAGATCCAAAAATAAATGTCCACTAAAGGATTGCTAGGCAAAGTTCGAGAAATTTGAAATTAAACTATGGACAGATAGATAAGAACCAACATACTATAATTTACCTCTTTATAATCTATTTTCGTAAGAAACGATACGGTGCTATCATTCAAAAATTGAATTAGAGAATAGAGATCCAAGAATAAATGTCTAGTAAAGGGTTGCTAGGCAAAGTTCGAGAAATTTGAAATTAAACTATGGACAGATAGATAAGAACCAACATACTATAATTTACCTCTTTATAATCTATTTTCGTAAGAAACGATAGTTTTGAACGATGCTGTCATTAAAAAATCGAAAAATTTTGTCAAACAGGTAGAGCCGTGGAAAAAGTCTACTTTTTTAGTTCTTTTAGTGAGAGAGAACAGAGAGATCATTTTCTCCCGGAGTGAGCCAGCTAAATAGCCAGCGTGTCGGAAATTTAGCCGCATGCCATCCGTAGAAGGGACACGGTCAGTTAGGTACACAACACACCCTTGCAACTCTACGCGACTTTTAGTATCAATACTGGAAGGTCTATTCGAGTACGTTCCCGTATGTACTTTGCGCAGATCGATCCATGTGGGCGGAAACAACTGCGCGAAACAGAACATTCCGATCTTTGAGTGACCATTTGAGCTTCCGTAGATACACCAGTCGAATATAAAAACGCGGCACTGCATGGTGCTGACCAAATTTGCGAACGGGCATTTCGCTGCGGCGATCGCGATAAAGAAACTCGAGAAAGTAACATTAAAATAAAGTAAATAAAGTAACCTTAAAAATTACTTTGCTTAAAAATTAATTTACTTTGCAAAGAGAGTTTGCTTAAAGGATCGACAGCAACGCACGCTGCAATGCGCATCGTGTAATGCTCGAGTGGAGATATAAATTCAGAAGTCATACGGGAGCAGAGATGGGCAAAAACTTTATTCGAATAATAAATGGCGAAAGAAACAGTCAAGTACTTCAATCCATAAATCAAAATGTACTTCGTTGTTGTTTGCTCATCTCTGTCCGAGAAGACTAGTTTATTTTCAACAATCTTTCGTAAAATTGCTATTTCAGTTGTATCCGGTGTCAAAATTAATTCTGTACATTCGTATTAAATCGTTTATAATTATAGTTCAAGTAGAAGTACTTGTCACTTTCTTACATTAAAATACCGATCTTCCGAGTCCACGACTTAATCTCCACGCGACCATATTTATTATAAAAATATGTAGGCGAATAACCTGACTCTCATCCCGAGCAAACTTTGTTTAGATAACTTTAAATAAAATACTAAACGATATAGTAGGTGGGATAGTTTTTAAACCCGCCTAGCCGTACGAGGTTATGTCAAGATTATGCATAAGTTAAATTGGGTTAGGTCTGGGTTAGTTCGTTGGTTGAACCTCGCCCCTTCGATGAAATACGACATCTTTTTGATACGACGAATGATATCATTAACACGTTCACTACCAGACTAATACTCTTGAAAATGTCTACTATGATTAAATTTTCTTTACAGACTATCAAAAACTGCATAATGAAACATTTATTGTGGCATTTAGTTGTGTAACTTTATCAAAGTTCAAGTATTTCATTTAAATTCACTTTCTGTGACACTTAACTTTCAGAATTAATTTTCGTACTTTTTCAGTGAAAAGCATTGTCACCCATATAAGAAAACGAAAAGCAACGGTTAGAAATGGGGAATATTAATTCCCGAGTCACGTGATATTTTGAAGAGCGAGTTTAAATGTCAGAGCATGGCATTTATTCGTGGCATAATTCCAGACCAGCTCTCCCTCTAACATCCCAGGGTGGCTCCGTGTTCGTTCGTATGCTCTATGTTCTTCGCTATCGATTTAATTATTATCCCTCGTTATTATTCGGCGGTCGTTCCGTTCGTCAACCACGGCCCGTTCGTTTGACAGTTCGTAGGTTACGAACGAACGTCGAACGCGATCGAAACGATCGCGTGCATTATTCTGTAACCGTGTTTATTCGTACCCGTGTTGTTCGCGCATTGTTTCGATGCACAGAGGCTGGGTCTTGGCTACGCGTCAATACGATGTTCTATGGCTAACAAAAATATTCCCGAAGTGTCGTAAGATACAACGGTTTCGAATTCTTTGCTTTTAATAACGTCGTCCCGGATCCAAGTCCGCGACGTGGTCGGAACCGAACATAAATCAGGAGAAATACACGGTCGAACGTTTCGAAACGCACGACGAACACTGACGCGAGGGATGATACCATAACCAAACCATAGAAAACTATTCCTCGACCGAATTCACGCTGTCGCGCGTCAACAGTAGTAAAGATGGATGGATATCGGACAGTAGTAAAGAACGATTATTCACAGACAGTATTTACCACGTTCCGTTTTCGCTACGAAAATCCACGAAACCTTTGCGTATCGCACGATGACATTTTATGTAAAGGAAACGTTACAGCCTTGTTTCCGTCTGTCTTTCGTAATCGCGACACGTAACGATTTAAATGTTGCGTAAAAATGAAAAGTAGTCCTGCTTTCGATTTTTTTAAGAAGAGCTTGAAAGAACGCTCTGCGTTGCGGAGCCTCCTAGGAATTATTTAACGAGACTCTCGATGTCGCAAACAAATTTACACGGGATTCACTGTAAAATTTATTCGACGATTAACACGATCTCGTATCTTGTCACGAGATGGCTTCAACTCCCATCGGCAGATTAATAATAGACGAATTTCGAAGTGAACGTTAAACTGAATAACAGACCTCGACGTTTTTGACACTTCCAAGAGCGAGCAGCTGAGAGATTCGAGTTATCTGGGTCTCTACGCGCGTTATTCGGGGACACTATTTGACGCGTGCCGGTATGATGCTATAACGAAGTAGCTACTATACGGAAATAGACGTAAGGTAGTCGAATAAAACCGATGGGAAAACAATTTTTCGGCGACTTACCACTGCTTTAAGCACGGGCACCATTCGTTCCAGAAAACAAGACGTGCACCATGATGTAGCAGCACATCTTGCCCGTGGCTACCGCGACGAATAATGCACCGTGACGAGTAGTGACGAGTAGTGACGATCGGTGACGAACAGTGACGAGGGTACTGTACTGCCACTTGTTCCACACCAAGCGCTGCAATCGACGATCGCGCGTCTATCGATTAGGAAACGGAAAATGTAATGTGTCGTACCGTTTAGGTGCGATGCGAGATGAAAAGTGTTTCTGGCGAGATTTGCGAGCAAAACAATTTAAAATAAACATCTAGAAGCATATGCTAGTTCGATACGCGGACGTTCGACGTTTAAGTAAGATTTCAATTGAAAATAACCGAGCTAATCGAAACGAAACTGGTGATTACTAACGGTGACGTCGATTGGGTATCCGGTAGCAATGACGATCCGAATTCTACTACTATTATAACTGCTGGTGTCGCCGACAGAGGTATTATTTGGACCACGGCCAGATATGCGCCTGCGTCGACGATTCCTGAAAAGCTACCCTGCCTATCGTTGCGTGTGATGAAAACTTGACCTCCACCTATGCCGCACGCTTTCCTCTTTCCGCAAACCTCGTAGTTCGATATCAATTTTGAATCTGTTCGATACCTGCGCGTGCGCGTAACGTAACGTGTATAAGCGGGAAATCACGCGATCCCGTTCGAGTCGATGCAATTCGTTCAGAGTAGATCGATAATTTTTAAACATTTCGAGCTTGCGACATCGCGAATAATTACTTCTTCGTGCGAGAGCCACGGTAAGATTTAATATTTTTAAACGTCATGGTATCTGTAACTCCATAGCACAGGAGTTAGGCAAATTTAATTTAAGAAAAATCTGGAGGCTGTTGCGTAAACGTATATTAACAAACATGTAATACAATGTCTTTTTGACAGGGCAAAACGAGTGAGTAACAGAGAATCCAACCGTGTCGTGATAATATTTTATAGAGTATACACTATCAGTTACACAGAGAGATGCACTATCTGTCTCTCTCCAAGAGGACCTCGCCAACAAGACCTCCGGCCAACAAAGCAAAAACTATTCAAAAAAACTATCTTTTTCTCTCCAAGATACGTGCACATCATCCGTTCGATACCTCTGTACACAAGTTGTTTCTGACCAGGAAGTATGGCCACTGCTTTTATATTGAAGTAACCCTGCTACAGCGATCATTACACCGTTATCTATACAGAATCGTTCATCGGTGGCATGAAGTTTCGCGTTCCTTTCTTTACACATAACCTCCATCATCTCTTGCAACCTCACATTGCAGCCTACACCACCAACAATTAATACCTCCAATGAGTTTACATGGGCCATTGCTCGTTCTGAAATGTCATCAAACCAGAAATGTAATACTATTTTATGTTTGTACTTTAAATTTATATAATACGCTGGATACCTGTAATTTCTATAAGCATGGCAAATACTGTTTCTTGTAAAGAGAAACATAAATCTTCCGGAGTATACTCCTTTGACTTGAGCCAAGTAGGAAGATGTTCTTCTATGTAGCTTAAGATACCAGAAAAAGATACATCCATTCCTTTCACTACATAAGGTAATGGTGCTAACTTCTTTCCTCTTTATATACAAAAAATTGTATATAAGATATAATTAACGTCTATAAATAAATAAATCCTTTTATGCTGAAACAACTTACTTTTTTGCTAACTGTTCTATATTATAACCAGGACTAGGATCATTGGAAAGTTTTAATAATCTAGCAAATCGATCTAAACAATTTCCTACAGCTATATCTATTGTTTCACCAAAAATGCGATATTTTTGTCGAGAGTACGCGATAATTTGTGTATTTCCACCGGAAACGTATAAAACGGTGGGATTTATACTCCCTGTAATCAAACGTCCCATTTCTATATGACCGATACAATGATTTACAGCAACCATTGGTTTATCGCATATTTGAGCAACCGTTCTTGCTACCGATGCGGCAACCGTTAAAGGTGCTCCCATTCCTGGTCCTTTCGTATAACACACCACGTCTACATCTTCTAACGTTACATTAGCATCGTTCAATGCTTTTTCTAAAACCTCGAGAATATATAGTCTGTGATGTTGCGCAGTTTCACGAGGTAGAAATCCTTTTCAAAACAAATTTTAAAATATTTTATACATAACTTTTAAAATCTTAATAAACAACAAATACAAATTTTTATTTGTTGGGTTTCAAGGTTATGTTTATACCTTCGCCTGGCGGTGTAACGTAGGTATGTCGAACATTCGACAAAACATCATTATCTCGAATTATTCCGATACCTAATTTATTCGCGCTACCTTCGAATCCGATCGCGATTACCATTTTTCTTTTAAACTATTTGATTTTAAAAAGACAGAGAAAATACGTTTGCCATTATTTAGTAACTACCAGCACGCGAGTGACTCGATCTGACTCGATCAGCCAATAGAAAACAGTTGCAGTAGAAAGTCGATCATATTGAATCTCGAAGTAGAATAAGTGAATGCTTTCGTTGAAATGAATAACGATGTAAACTGTTTCCTAAATACGACACGTAATGTCATCTAAAAAAATCTTGAACAATTGTGAATTATATGCAACCCAATGACACTAATCTAATTGACTACTAACTTACTAATATAACTTATGTACGGCAAGTTGCTATGTAACGAGCAGTTATTAGATCAGGATTTGTTACGTTAGAATATATCAATTTATCGATAACCTTCTATTCACTAAATATAATTATTAAGATAAAAATATATCAAGAAATAGTTTCATATAACTAGACTACGGATCTTTATACGAAATGTAATTACACCAATTGCTGTTGATTTGTCGTCTACCTCTGTTAATACCAATTCCAAGTTCAAAAAACTGGAATGTTACTTTATATGATATAATTATTGTCACTAGAAAACACAAGTTTATCATAGCGAAAAATATGAAAGTGTCTAGGGATATTGCAATTGGAAAGCACCCAAAATGAAAATTAGAGATGAGCAAAACCCTAGGCTTCGAATAAATCTGAAGTTTGCCGATGAGTTTGTCTCGTTTCCTTCTTTGGAAAATGTTCAAAAGAGGAAACCAGACAAACACAACAGTAAACTTCAGATTTATTCGAAGCCTAGAGTTTTGTCCATCACTGGTGAGTTTCCCCTAGAACAAGAGGGAACCGCGTTATCGTGTGTGAAGAACTTAAAATGACCACGGCGACATCTGTTGTCCACCTTGTTTGGAATGCAATCCTCTGCATTTGGTGCGGCTCGTCAAGAAAAGTCTTCTTAACGATCTCCATTCGTAGAACGTCACGCGGAAGTGAATCACCGATATTCGCGGCAGAAAATGCCAATTTTCGAGTAGCCGCGGTGAAAAAAGTGAGTGTCGTTGTCTCGAATGATTCTTGAGCCCCGGTGAACGTCGTGAAATTCCACGAGTAACGCTTACTGGGTGGGCAAAATTGATTTTCAAAGTGACCGTCGGGTGCCCTGGCGAATGAACGCCTCTGACGCTTTCGGTATGAGTTAGCAGCAAGCGCTGCGCAGAGTTTTAGATTTATTCGCGTTAACTGTCGAGTAAAAGTTTTGTGAAAACTACGTTAAACAAAAAAAAAAATATATATATATACACATATAAATATATATATATATATATAAAGTAATAATATAGTGCAAAAGGTGTGTACCAGCAAATGGAAAAAGCGAGAAGAGCCGACCTTCGCTTTTAATGAAAGAAAGGAGCGAAGGAGGCTATACGCGTACATACCGGTTCAGACTCTCTCTCTCTCTTTCTCTTTATCTCGTCAAGCAGTACTTGAGATATTCCGCGATTCTCGAGGTTCGTTCACGACATCGGTAAGGTGTTACCCGGGTAATATCTAAAAATGGTGTCGCGAGAATCGCGGTCCCGACGGCGATCGTCGCGAAATCGCGCGGTCGGGCCTTTACGTGACCTTGACGTACCCGTTACTCGGGCCACAAATTCCGTGTCGCGTTTCGGTGTGGCCACGAGTCGTACGCGACAAGATGTCCTCCGACGCTTACCGAAAAGGTGACGTTCCGCGCAACGATGTCCCCGTGGACGTCGCGAACGGTCGCGAAATAAACGAGAAAACCGTTTCGACTGCGCGCGACGCCGATGCTCGTTGGAATTTTCTCGCCCGTGTGTTACCGTCGGTGTAACATTCGCGAGCGGTTTACACCGTGTACACGTAATTCGGCTGCGCGAGTGCCGCACGGTACGGCATTACCCGGGTAATGCCTCGAGACAAACTTCGCGCTCTGTCCGTACTTCGGTTTCGATGAAAGAAATATAAAAAAAAAGAAAAAAGAAATGAAAAATAATGCGCGAAAAACTTGGACACGAGACAAACGTTCGGTTTCTCGCGTGCCGCCGCGACGCACGCCTTTGAAAGGCGATCTCTGAATTTGGTTCGACTCATTCAATGTCCACGCGACCAACATTTATGGATCGTGGATCGAAGCGTACTACAATTCTGGACATGCGGAGATATGGCGATGGTAAGGCATCGCGACGGGTGATGTCCATTACCACATTTATGGATTTCGCGAATTCAAATTCTGAGAAACGCTTTTGATCGGGGAATACTAACTTTTCCGCCTGCTTGACCACTACAGATGATGCGTATTTGTGACATATAGAATTTTTAACTTAGGCCAGTCGACCCAAAGGACGAGTAGCACTGGTTCTTCTAGCGAATCTCATGGCGATTAATCCGACGTATTATCATCTTTATGGCCGTTCTGTCGTGTTCTGAGAATTAACGTGTTCACTGATCTCGCAGGAGTTCGGATCAGCAGTGTTTACGCTCCTCCAGTGTCTTCGAGTGTAACACATCTGTAAGGTAAATATATTTAATGTATTTCGAAGAAATCGCGCTACGATTTAGCGAACTAATCGAAGGGCAGGTGGGAGAGAGTATCTGTTGCATTTGAATAACTATAAAGTAGCGTCCGTGCCTATTAATTACCATTCTTAATATAATTTTATGTGGAATATATATAATGCGAAATATTATATATAAAAACTTTATCGAAATTCTCTTTCACATTTTACGTTCTCTCCTTATACGTTGTAAAATGCCAGAAATATTTCGTTTGTTGCAGGAATGTCACGGGACTATGATAGACGAAGAGGAGGAAGCGGTAGTGGTAGCAGCTCTAGTAAGTTACGGATGGATACCAATGTATCGCAGCCCAGACCACACGGAGAGAATTCTGGGAAGCGGAGAGAATTTGATAGCGTAATGCGGAAAGCTCGCGAGTCTCGATCAAGTTATTGGAATAAGAAGCTTTTGGAGGTAGAGGAAAAAGATCCGAACAGGTGGAGACACAGCGGATACAAGGAGTTGTACGTTGGAGGGACGACAAGCGGAGAACCCAGTAGAGGACATCCTCGCAGTCCGAGAAGTCCTAGACCTAGGAGTCCCCATAGTCCAAGACCGCGTAGTCCTCGAACTAGAAGTCCGTGTTCGCCTCGCGAAAGATCGCATAACCGAGGAAGACCCGCGCGCAGTCCAAGTACAGGCAGTACTTGTTCTGATCGGTCATGCAGCGTTTGTTCGCCGAAAGAACGACGCCGCATTGCCCAGCCTTCTCGTTCGCGTTCAAGATCGCTGACACCGGTTCGAACTCGGCCGCATCCGAAAGAAGTAGTGCCGTCGAGTTCTCGAGTAATACCACCCCGTACTAGACCGCGATCACCTCCTTTGCCGCGTCCACGCACACCTCCACCCGCGCCACAACCTCCGCCGCGTCATCAAAAAGACTACAAAACGATTAAAGAAAAAGAAGCCAAAGTTCGACGCAAAGAAAAGCAACATCACGCTAGAATCCCTGAAGATCCACGGGTCCCAGATCCAATTCCATTGGTAAAACATGCTTTGTTCGTGTAAATAATTGTGAATCACGGTTCTGTAATATTTACAACATATTTTTCACATACATTTCACGTATTCTTTTAGTCGTACTCGTGTATTCTTTTATTTCCAATATGTAATTATTGAACTTGTGCAGATGCGTAAGCCGGTAAAGGTAGAGAAAACTCATTCGAGTCACGGACCAGCGCAAATGATCAGGCCTCCTCCTGAATCCTCGCCCAGCGAAGACAGCGATAGCTCTTCCACTACGTCGCACGTGGGCCCGCCTAGGATGACGTTATCAGAACGGTATTATTTTTCAGCCGTACCTACGAATTATAAATAATTCATTTTATCGTAACACTTTTGATATAAAAAAGAAATACGCAATCATTTTTCAGCTTTGGTAAAATGGCACAGTGGAGCGTAGATCGTCGAGACATGGAAAACATGCGTATAACTAAGGATGGAGAAAATGCAATGAAAGTTGTAATAGAGGGTGAAGAAAGAATCGCGAGATTAGGATACGATTCTCCACCGCCAGGACATTATCCTGAATCGCTTTTAGCACAAGGGCCGAGAGGTCTCGAATGTTGGGACGATGTACGTGTTAGATACGATTATTATAAAGCGAGAGGATACCTTCGACACCTCACTTTAGACGACTACATAAAGTGGGAAGAATGGTGGTACAAATATCAAGAATGGTTAGAAGCTGAGCGTTTTTATGAACAATGGGCCTCATCAAACCGTCCTACTGGTGGAAGTCGCAAGAGACGCGGTCGACGCAATAACGCTGCTCACTGAAATTTTCGCAAGACCGTTACAAATCATTCTTGATTCATAGACATTGTCATCAATAAAACATACTGTAATATTTGTTGTGCTTAGAAAAGACTTCGAACGGTGTGCAAACGCTCTATACGTACATAAGTACATACATATATAAACACACACACGCGCGTATAAATATTATATATATATATACATATATATATATATATATAATAAAAAAAATGACTGTGCTGTAAAAACCTCGTTCTCATCGGTTTATTAAGCAAAATTTAATATACGAAATTTTTGTTAGTTAGTTATAGTTTATTCTCTTTGTGGACTATATACGAAATTTTTGTTCTTTTTTATATTTCACGTACATTAAACTATATAAAAGTAAGTAAATTTGATGTGTTGGTTACGAAGTTTTGACGATACTTAAAAAAATATATATTTTTTTTTCAAACTTATCGCGAAATAATTTTCTTTGATCACGTAACTTTAATAAAGTAGTTTTATAAATTGATAATATTATTTTGTTTCTTTAATAAAAAGAAAATGTATAGAACAGAATGTTTCAATAATACAAGGTGATATAAAAATCATAGTGTGTACGTACAAAAGACAGTAAATTGATTTCTTGTGAACAAGATTATAAAATAAATACTTTTTAACGATAAAACTTGGTAATTGTATTCGTTGCAATTCTCTGTTATTTCTATATACGAAATCAAATATGCATTAAGAATTTTTCGTAAACACAAGAACTGCAGTTTTTATCGTGATATCTTCAAATAGTTAATAATGTTCGATAAAACTATTTATAAGACAAGAAACGCACCAATGAAGTTTTCGTGATGCCATTTATCTTCGAATTTTAAATACTGAAATAACTTTTTTCTTATTTGTTTTTTTTTAACGATGTTTCTAACACAGTCGACTTCAAATTAGGTTAAAACAACTTAATCAAGCACAAATGTACGATCTTGAAAATCAATTATTTCAAAAATGAATTTAGCTTGAATAAAGTTTACTACAAAATTAAAATTTTATATTTTACAACGAATTAATTCTTTGAATGTACTACAATCTTGATTGTTCAACAAAATGCTGTATAGAATATATATTTATATGTAGATTAAAAAGTTAGGTAAAGTAGATAAGTTATGTATGATAACCATTGTCCTGATAAGAGGTTAAAGGTTTATCTGACGCCAAGTGCAGCTATATAAAGAACATATACATAATTACTGGGCAGTTACATTCAAGCTACAGTGAATACATTTTAACCTAAGTGAAAGTAATCATGGCATCGAATAAAATTGTGCGAAGAATAATATCATCTTCGTTGGCCCCAAAACCTGTTGGCCCATACAAGTAAGGAGTGAAATTTATATGTATATTATTATTGAATTCCTTAATTATTGTTAGCATTACTTAAGAATATAATTTAAAATATCAGATTCACGGTATAAAGTAAACAGTCGACTGTTAATATAGACAAATTTTATTTAAACAGCCAAGCAGTACTTGCAGACCGTACTTTATATTTATCTGGAGTGCTTGGTATGGATCCTAAAAGTCAAAAACTCGTTGAAGGAGGTGCTGTCGCTGAAGCGCGTCAAGCTCTCACGAATATGGGACATATTTTGAAAGAAGCTGGATCTGATTATAACAAAGGTTATATTAAAAAAAATATATATTATACGAAATGAAATGTCCAGAACATAATATTTAAGTAAAATCTAGCCAAATCTCGATTTAATTTATAATTCTATCGTAAAAAATTATACTTTTAACAGATATTGTCAATATAGGCTATAAACTGTGAATAATAACGTTCATCTTTAATTTATTTACAGTTGTTAAAACCACGATTCTGTTAAACAATATCAACGATTTTTCTGGTATAAACGAAGTTTATAAAGAATGTAAGACTAAATTAATTGTATTGCATTTGAACGTAATGTCATCCAATATTTGATATTCACTTATTTCACTTAATTTTTTTTCATAGTTTTTAAGGAAAATTTCCCAGCCCGATCAACATATCAAGTTGGAAAATTACCTATGGTACGATATGATACATACTTTATCTACTATAAATAATTATAATTTAATTTGCTAATGGCAATTATAAAATGTTCCAGGGAGCTCTGATCGAAATTGAAGCTATTGCTGTTACCGGCGAGGTAGAAACGATTTCAATGTTATAAGTCACGATTATTGTGTGTATATTTGAATGTACATATAAAAAGTACTGCATTAAATACGTATTTTTGATCATGTTGTTATTTACTAATCTCGTCTTGCATGCTAATTATAAATATTACTTATATTTTAATATCAGAACGTTGTATAAAATTATTAAAGATTCCTATTTAAAAATCGATCGTTACGTTTATCCTTCGTTTCCTATTATGTCTGTCCTTTTCTCTAATTTTATGACGCGTACTGCTTGGATGTATTTCAAAATTTCAATTAAATTCTGTCCAGATCATTTCTTAAAAAATTATTCAATTCGAACGCTATTCTAATTTTGTAACGGATTACCAGAAAAGGAAAAAAAACTTGTGAGAACGAGATTCTACTTCCTTTGAACCAATCACATCGAGGTTACAGTCAGTGTAATAAGTATTCATCTACAGGAATCATTTATTTTAAATGGGTTGCTGTACGAATACTTCTTACACTGATTGTAGATGTCTCTAGATACAAACATATTTCTATTAATTTATTCGATACATTGATTTGTTTATTCTACTGATTCCTATCACTGCAGACTTATCATTAATATATATTAATAGTTATTTCGATACTACTATCGAATATGTATTCAGGAGCTTTTGTTTTATTGCGTCGCAGGTCTAGACTTGCTATCTGGACAAGATATAAATTCATCTTATTTTCTAATACTTTTTGTATTATAAGTTATAATACAAATTTATTATAATTTACAACAAAAGGAAATGATGAATTGACAACTAGTCGGAAACTTATGTCGTTAACGAGAAGGTGTCGCCTCGATCACTAGAGTAAATTCGAGAAAACAATTTTGCTATTCGTTCATACATTACATAGTTTATGTTACCCCATGCTATGTATCCGGTGTTCATAACCTTTTCCGCCTTTTTAGAACGTGATCTGTCGCGTGGTCACGTCGTTCGCAGCATCGAGCCACATATCGTGTTCCATCTGCGTTTATTTTTTTAAGTTTTTATACGCCAACAGTAAAGATGCCTCCCAAATTCGATCCTAACGAAGTTAAGAAAGGTATATATTCGACTTTCAACATTTTCATACATATATACATAGAATTTAATACTCATTAATTTCCATAGTATATCTGCGATGCGTGGGAGGCGAAGTGGGTGCAACCTCGTCTCTAGCTCCAAAAATTGGTCCCCTTGGTTTGGTAAGTTTAAATTCAACATTTTTTCTAATTTTTTTCTCAAACCTATTTTTATGGCTGGCAGTAGATATTAACGTCGTATGTAATAATATTTACAGTCTCCCAAAAAAGTTGGCGACGACATCGCCAAAGCTACCAGCGACTGGAAGGGCCTGAAAATTACAGTGCAGTTAACTATTCAAAATAGGCAAGCTACTATTTCGGTGGTCCCATCCACTGCGTCTTTGATTATTAAGGCGCTCAAAGAACCCCCAAGAGATCGCAAAAGACAAAAGAATATTAAGCACAGCGGAAATCTGTCGTTCGACGATATTCTTGATATCGCTCGTACGATGAGGCCAAGATCTATGTCTAAATATCTTAGCGGAACTGTTAAGGAAATACTAGGAACTTGTCAATCGGTTGGTTGCACGGTAGAAGGCAGACCTCCACATGAACTGATCGACGATATTAATGCTGGAGAATTACAAGTTCCCGACGAGTGATAACGGTAGGTTCGGAGCTCATTGTTAACTTTTCATCGTAATTCTATTGATCATCAATTCTGTAGATACATTGAAATCTATTTTATATGATGTTTTAAAAATTTCGATGAAAATTGTTTGCTTTGGGCTCTTGGTAGGGGTTAGCATCCCATCCACCTGATTACTTGCAATAATGCTTTGGGGTATTGTTGCACATAGTCAGGAATATCTGCTACTGAGGAGAAAACCTCAAAAATAAATCATTGTGTAATATACGATACACACGTAACACGTCGATTTTGAAAGTTTTGTTTTCATTGTTTCAGAATTGTGATAAGGAGAAAAAATAAACCGATTTGAAAATCACGAGTGTTGTACTTAAATATAAATTTCCTCTCCTTTTTTAAATATTATGTTATCAAACAAACATATTTTTAATGTTTAATGCATCTTCGAGTTCATTCTAGTTAATAATTCAGATAGTATGAAATAATAAGTGCGATGAACGTAAATAAAAATTTTTTAGCTTAACAATCTATCCAATACTATTTACTTAATAAAATTCGATCATGAAATTGCAAGTAAGATAACTTTTTACACGTTATCCGCATATGCTGTATAGAGAATCGTGATTTATACATATCTTAAATTCTTATTTAAGATAGGAGATTTATTTACCGTTAAGAAATTTTGTAGGATGTATCGATAAAATTAAAGTAACTTTAACATTGCGTCATAGACAAATAAATATAATCGGAATAATATATGAGAAAATTATAACACAAAATCAGTTTCTTACATTTATTTACATATTTCCCAAGACATGACCTCCTCCCCAATTATGAGTACCAAATCTATTTCTAGCAGGTTGTGATTGCGCCCTTTGTGTAGGAGCAGCTCCGAACCCTCTTTGAGGCGGAAAATAAGATTCGAGAATTTTCGGTGTATTCAATAATTCAGGCCCGCCAAGTTCCTGAGGATATTTAAATTTCAAAAATATGTAAAGATGTCCCACTAGAATACCGAATAGTTCCATCATTCCACCTCCAGAAATAATAAGATTGAATGCGAACAGTACCCATGGTAAGTACATGGCTTTGAATTGTGTACCTGTAGGTTTATTAAAACATACAATTAAAATGATTCGTTAGAAATACAGAATATATGGGAAGTCCATTATAGAGCACATACCAAACCAGAAATTAACGATAGCATCTTTGTTCAATTGACACCAAACGTACAATACGCTGAGTACCATAGGATCCATAAGAAAGTAAAATTGAGCTGTAAGTCCTATAACAACGCAGCACATCCAATTGAACAAAAGTAAGAAACAGTAATCTGCTGGCCGTCCATCGTATTCCCCGCGTTCTAACCTCAACGAGTAATTATATAAAAAGTAACAATTGATTAAGAAATGGAATCCTGTACTTGGATTCAGCGGATAGAAGAAAACGCTGGTCGCTGCTCTCCAAATCTCGAAATTATTTATAAAACGATCGTATGAGAGCGTCAGAGAACTCGGATTAACTAGGCCGAATCTACCGATTAACGTAAAAACGGCTGTACACAACAGCCAATATCTCGTAAATATTGGTAAAGAATTGAACCAATTTCTCACGTCTGACATATTTCTATCTTCGACGTAGCAATGTAATGCTTACGCACAAGCAATTAGAAACACTGACAGTGTATAAATTGTTAGATTTGTAAACGTAAATCTGACGTGTGATTGCTTACGGCGCCATATTGGATTCCCTTATTGGTAGACGTATATCGAAACGCAAACTTTTCGTATAATACATTTTTCTCATAATTAACTTGAAATAAAATTATATAATAAGTGTAGGAAATAATAAAATGGTCAGCACTTGCGTGATTATGCCAATTTATCATTTAAACATCGTTTAAACTAGTGGCACCATCGGTGGCAAAACGCCCAAGTTTCTAATGAAAATAATTCAATATTATTGATACAAATAAATTAAAGCAAATAAATGTTCAAATATTATATTTAAAGGATATACTGGAGTGTTATAAAGCTAAAAAATGTATTAATTATGCATTTATATGAAATAAAAAATAATCAAGAAAGATGTAACTGGTTGCACTATCTAGCAGGAATAACGGGAACTACTTTCTCTAGAAACTTAGGCGTTTCGCCACCGATGACGCCACTGGTACTATTATTATTATTATTATTTTTATTATAGTGCACGGGTATCTATACTATCTATATTGCACTGTCTTCAACATACACCACTGGTACTACGGCCAAATAAATATATTTAAATATATTTAAAAATGATAAATTGGCATAATCATACGTGCGCTAACTATTTCATTATTTCCTACAGTTATAATTTAATTTTATTTCAAGTTAAACGTCTGCTGAAGCCCGTTGGCCTCCATCTAGCTAGGGTACCTCGGGGTTGCTAAGCCCGTACTGTAGCTGCATATTCGCATGCTACAGGCCCTGAGGGAACGATACCATTTTTGTGTCCATCAATCGAGCAAGTGTACTTTTATATGTACTTACATATTAATGCAAAGTTCTATATGGTACTGGTATGATCTACATCGTAAATATATTTTAATATTTAGATTTTTTTAAAGAATAAAATAAACACATATTAATAAAGATAAGTTTATTCTCATAAATAAATGTATTTTATAAAACAATGGTATTGTTCTTAAGTTTCCATTGCGTTATATCTTTTTACAAACCTTTGGTTCTTCACTTTCATGAAAAACGCTACATATTATTACTTTGAAACAATATTGAATTTTGTCGTAATAATAACGTAATCATAAATAACATTTTTATCAATTCAATCGTGAATATATTTAAATAGAACTAAATATTGTTTTATGATACAATAACAACTTATTCGTATTCTGGAATGAGTATAACATACAGGAAAAAGCAAGAGCCAGAATATAGAACAAAAATGTTGAATATGTGTTAACACGTTATGTGTATTTGCTATATGTACACTATAAAATACGATCATGTTACTCTTGCAACTGCAGGTTATAATTTCAAATACGAAACAATTGCCAGTAGTCAATGCTATAAACAAGATAAATTTTGCGTTGACCTAACTCTTGTAAAACTTTTTATAAGCATAATTATTTAACACAAAGCAGCTAATTTCCGTACTATGTTTAAATCTCGAAGAAGCATTTGAACAGTTTGTTTAGTTCGAGGCTGGACATCTGGACTAGGTACAATATCATCAGGATCCATCGCTTCTAAGGCTGTAAATGTATAATAAACATATTAATCACTCTGACGTTTCATATATATATATAAATTAAAAAAATGTATATACCGCAAACTTGAGCTTCGATCGATGTTAATCTTGCATCTATATGATTTTGAAAATGTTCAATGTGTTCTAATAATCGCATTCGACATTCTCCTGGATCAATCGGTGCTTCTGGTTGTGGTATAAATGGTTGTAACGGTGTTGATATTTCGTGGTCATTTAGTTCTTTGTGCATTTGATTTGCCGATACGGTTGTTTCAGAGGCATCATGATCAGACACAGTAGTTTGATTGGATAATAGATCTACGTATGGGAAATATACAATTATAAGTTTTTGTTATTATCAAAGAAATAGTGTGTACGTTATTTGTTACCTGTATCTGGTTTCTCGTCTGAAGTTTCGGAAATCTTATATTTTTCGTCCGAGATAGTACTTTTTGTAAGAGCATCGAGAAGGATGTGACACTTATTCTCGTTTGTCAAGTCTTCTTTCTTAGGGGCAACTTTAGACTCGTCGGAAGTTGTATTGTCTTCTTCCAAAATTTTCATTAGTTCCGAATCCGAAGCTATCGACTTTTCATCGTGATCATCTTTTAAAGTAAACTTTGTTTCCATCTTTAACTCGACTCTATGAGATGCATCGGTTACAGTATCCACGGGTTCGTTCGCTGCTTTCGTGATTTCTATAATTGGTACCGGTGTTATGTCTGGCTTTTGTATTTCAATTTTCTCCCAATTTTTTGCCCAAAGGTATAATTTTGGATGATCTTTCTTTCTGTAACATAAATATTGTTATCATTAATAATATTTATCTTCCTTATAATTTCTCGGCAATGGTATACTAATACTCACTGAGCTACATTAATCTTTATTCTCAGACTGTGTAATACTTGCTGTATTTGTAAGAGAGCAGCAACCAAATCATAAGAACGTTTCAACATAGCTGTTCTTTGGTTAATTGTATATTGATTTTTTGTTCGGTTTGGTAACGTAGGTAGTTTGCCTTCTTTCATCCAATCTTGATCGTGGAAATACATTTTCGATGGTCTTTGTCGATATGGATTCCGACAAATATAACAAACATATTTTTCGGGTACATCTTTTTCTTTTTCTATCGCGTTACAGTGGCCATGCTGCCAGCACAGGCAAAGGTCGCATTGTATCATCAAACCGTCTTCCTCCATAAATCCGCACGTACAATTTATTATTTCTTCCCTACGTAATTGTTCTACCTTTATCATTTCACCGTTAATCATCATCATAACTCCTTCATTTTCTAAAAATAGAATTTTCATACTGTTGACAAAGGGAACTTTATTTTCATTAATGAAAAGGCAATGCATACGTTAATATTCCTTCGAATTCGAAAATATATTATTGCAAATTCTAAACATAAAAGCACGGAAAAGTCTACGTATAAAACCACTGTTCAATAAATTTAGGAAAACGAAATAAAGAAAAAGGTGGAAAAAAAAATAAAGAATATACCTTCCCCATCATTATTTGTATCTCTTTTAGTAATATCCCCTTTCAAGGTATCACCTTTTTCAAGACGAGAATCGTTTAGTTGACCTAAAGAATAATGAAATAATAAAACACTAGACTATCCACTTATTTCACACTGAAGAGAAACGGACGATTTTACAATCGCACAAAATAAAAAGGTTAACATATACAATATATATACATATATATATTACTAAGAAATATATACACGGCCGATTATGAGAAACACTTACTACTTTGACTATTTTCATCGCTTCTTGAATCTGACTTTCGACGACTATATCTATACATAAGCGCTGTTGGTCCTTCGGTATCCATAGCACTTTCGTCTAAATCAGCATAATCATCTGTAAGCTCTTGCATACCTGTTACAAAGTAATAATTATAACATAAAAAAAAAAGAGAAAAAGAATGAGTGCATTTTGAAACGTGAAAATTCATTTGAATCGTAGTTTAAAGAAATATTCGATAATTTACAAATACAAAGTATCGAATACAGATTATTACCGGGTCGCCTTTTGCCTCTACACGGAACGTCAGAACTATATTCCGATAATTGCCGTTTTCTTTGACCCTTCATTCTCTCGATTTGTAAACTTTCATCCAATGATTTCGACCTATCAGTCCTTTGCATTTCTGACGATGTCGTTGGTCTCACCGGAAGAAGGGTTTTAATACCGCTTTGTGTTTTTTCTTCTCTAACTTTCATATCGAATAATGTTCCAGGTGACATCGCGCATGGTTCTTCTCGTTTCTTCTCACTTTCATCATCCATATCTATACTATGACTAGAAATCGGAGACATTCTTTCTATTTTAATATCTTCCGCCGGCATTTCGTTACACTGTTCCATTTGCTCCAATTCATCTTCCATTTCCGAGACGGTTGGCAAAACTATCGTTGGAGATGTAGGTTGAATAGAACCCGATACCGATAGCGAGCCAGTATAAAGTGGTTTGTCTTGAATAGACTTTTTCTTTCCTAATTTATTATATTTCTCTAAAAGATTATTCGATTTCCTAGGTATAATATCATCGATAGATTCTCCGATTGTTCTCGCGTAAGCCAAATCTGCAACATTTGGAGTAGATCCCAAAAATTTCGAATACTCAGGATGATAATGCTTTATATGCATTTGTAAAAGGTTTTCCTTTCTAAATGTTTTATTACATCCTTGTTTTGGACATTTGTAAGCGCTGTCTTCCATTTCTACACGGAGTCCACCAATAAAAACAGCTGTTTGGAAATAAAAAAAAGGAATTATTAAGAATGTACGTTTATCGCAAAATCTATATTCGAAATGAGAATATTTCGAAGTTGTTCGTTGATACTTACAATAAATTGGTCCTAATATAAGTAAGCGTTAAAAAGTAATAAATCTAATAAAGTAACATCGACGTATCGAAAAAATAAAAAATAAATAAAAAAAAGTAGAATCTTACCACCATCTGGAATAGGTGTTGTTGGTGTAGGCACTAAGGTTGTAATCGTTGTAGTTGCCGGTGTAAGTAACGAATCTGTCACTGGTGTTGGCTTTGTTTTAGGTAATAAAGTCTTAATCTTTTTAGGTACTTCTGGGATAACGTCTTGTTTTAATTTATGCCCATAGTTCTTCTTCTTTCGATGAATACAAAAATCAAATTTCTCGGGATCGAAGTCAAACTGTCCTTGGTTTTCCATGAATGCCCTGATATCGTTCCTCGACCTAAACTTCTTCCCACTTGATTTATGAAGAAATAAGACGTCCCATTTGCCAGCAGATGTACCAGCTTTTCTTTGGGTAAAATGTTTTTGCCATCCAGGTGGTAATCTTTTATCTGCAACTATTATCGAGCGACGTGGTCCTACAAACATACACGTATATATGTTTACAAAAAGCTGTTAAGGTACATTTATGGAACATAAAAAATAAAAATTTGAATTTCTTTTAATATACCATCATTTCCATCTACTATGTAAGATTCGGTTCCCTGAGGTTCACCGTCTATCCACTCTGGTCCTACGTCTTCCTCTTGATCTATATCATTTTTAGATATTTCTTTCTTGTTCTTTTTCGTATAAGGTTTCATTTTCGATACGTTAGTATCAAAGCCTCGCAACAAATCTGTCCCTGGATCATAACAAGGCCCGAACAAAGTACCATCTAAATCAATTTTATTTTCTGGAAAACATTCTCCATTTTCGATTATTACTGCTCCTTCCTTTTTCGTTACTTTATCCACTTCGTTCTTTGACCGTTTTCGAGAATGCGTATGAAACAATTCCATCACTATATGCTTCCGCTTCTTATCCCTCCTTTCTTGTTTGCTTCCTATGTACTCTTCGGCTTGAGGAGATAACTATTTAAAATAAATTTTGACTTTATTCTCCATATTGTTAATTCTATTGAACACTCGTAATTTAATTTTTAAACTATTTTTAATACGTTTCGTAATATTAAAACCTCTTATTTTGTTTACCGCTATTAACTAAACCCATTTTCATAATAATGGAAAGCATTATGTAAAAATACACAAATTCCAATAAAAAAATAAACATTCATTTCAACTTATAGGTTGCAAAACTCTCAGATGTTACCAAATACCGAGGTAACAAATAATTGTATTTTTCAAAATATAGTTCTATAATTACTTTTATGACAATTGTAAGACTATAAAAAAAATTATTTTTAACAAATACTTTGTTTGATGCTCAAACTGATAAATCAAATTAACATTGTTTATATTTTAAAGCAATATAAACGTAACAAATAGAAGGAAATAACTAAATATAGTTTGTTAAACCTTATATTAAGGATAGTACAACATAACCTCACAAACTAAATTTATACCTTTGTGGACGTTCCAGCGATTTTGGTCATTTTTGACGATTTAATAGTTTTTGCGTATCCATCGTCGAAGAGTACATCGTACCTATCTGTGAAAATAACGAATTTTACATTAAAAAGGCACTATTGTCTAATTAAAAACTATCCTGGCAGAAGTAGGAAACGTCAAACGAGTAATGTAGGGAACAGTCAGTTTCTTTTACACGTACATAGTTAAGGTTAGGTCGCTTACCGTTTCCTAACACAGCGTTAACTTTGGCTGGATATTTTCTCCCGTCGGCCCACGTAGCGAGAATCCTTTCTCCAACTGAAAAGTCTTTCATTTTTGTTTCCCTAAATGTATTAAATCCTTTCGTTACTATTCGTGATATGACATAGTCGACCATTATAAATAAATATTAAATGAAAACATTAAATAATTTTTCTCTGTAACCAATAATTTCGTTTCCTAAAATCCAATTACTTCGCACAAAAATTTCGGTATACGCGTATTTTTATTTTGTATTTTACGAGATTTACAATGTTGATGTAATTTATTGAAATTTCTTTTGCATTACTAAAACAAGAAACACACTGCAAAGATATTTCTTAAAAAACTCTTCTTATGCTTATAGTTAAAATGTTTGATTTCATTAATAAATATATTTTATGAAAAGAATAATTTTCAATATATACATATGTATGTATGTATGTATTGCAAACAATGTTATAATCTGACATTTGCTTAGATACATATAAATAATTGAAAAATAAAATTTGAGTTACCATGTAAACAAAATCATATATTCTTCAAGACTAAATGGAAGTTCTTCTAATGTTGATATTTTAGATAATTTGAGGATTAAAAATAAAAATTTTCTTTTGCTCTCTGAAAGATCGAATAATAGATAGACGATTTATTACTATAAATAATGACGACGTTTCGATATTTTGGTTCTCTTTGGATCAATTTTAAATTACACAATTTAACGTATTAACGCGAATAACAAGAGATATTTGAGAAAATAAAATAGAAGGGAATTACAAAAATAACTAGTAATTTCCTCCTTTTTCTTTTTTCATTTAGGATGACTGATGGTCGGAACGTCATTATTTATACTCGTAAATCATTAAACAGTTTAATATACACGTTCTTTTTGTAACGCGATCAATAGAAATGTGCAAATTTGAATATCAAAATAAGAAAAAAAGGAAGATTTAACTAGAAGCTTTACGAGGAAATAACATTTGACCATACTAAGGTACTACAAATTTTTTCACCTATTTTCTAATTATGCAATACCCACTTACGGAGTTGGCAGGGTCCAAGTTTGTTCGCTTTAAAAAAAAAAAAGAAAAAACCATATTCAAATTACACAAATTATACCTTAACTTATAAAATAAATTAGGCTACAAACCATTTCTATCGTAATCATTTTATTGCTTTCTTTCTTGTTTTCAAGTTAAATAACTTTATCCAGATTTTCACAAATTAATACGATTAATAAATCCTGTCTACTCACTTTGACTGTGACTGTAACACACGCAACCTAGAGCTATCCATAGGTATCCATTCGTCGAATCTCGAGCTCCATTTATCGAAGTGTATCAAGACTTCTCGTTCTTCCCAATCGGTTTCGACTACCTTCGCCGAATACCTACGACACAATAAAAACAACGAATCATTTAGAACAATCCCTTTTAAAACTTACATAAAACGAACACGATTATGTTATCACGTTTTAGCAACATTTACCATTTATCATTAAAATCTTTTGCTTCCAATTTAGCTCCAGGAAAAAATTTTAAGCTATCCCGATTTAGCATTTTCGCCTTCAACTCCCCTGGCTTATCGAACGCTTTCTCGTCTTCTATTTTAATATTTTTTAATTCCTCTTTAATAATCAAATCTTTTTGTATATGTTCCATAGCTACGTCCGATTCTACAATTCCTAATTGCACCGCCATAGTGTTTACTTCCATTTCTAAATTTTCGTGTATTTCATGTTTAACAGGAGTTTCTACTTTAGTATCTTGTAAAGGTTTACACCCGTTAACTAATTCCGTTGAGTCTAGCAAATTGGGTAAGTCTGTGGACGAATCTGGTTGTGAGGAACATGTTTCTCCACAGCTATCAGATTTTGGTGTTCTTGCTTCAGATAATAATGGCGAAATAGATTGTTCCAAGTTTAAAATTTCAGAATTAATAAGATCCAAATCCTCTTGTGCATACGAAGTCGACGACTTCACAGACATAATAACAGGATCTGCAAGAAAACGAAATGAGTAACATCCTTTGTTTTGTATAAACATTACACAACAAAAATTTGAATGTTTCACAAGGAACTTTAACAATACTATCATAACTGCATTTAAGGTAAGAAAAGTTACTTGACAAACTATTTTTATATCCGGATACAGGTTAATGATGAATGTAAATAAGCAACACACAAAGTCGCAGAGAATCTATGTGTATGATTGTAATCGTCCTTCGTTAATACAACTACGAGGTCGTGGACCAGGTGATTATTTTCAGAAATAAAATTCTAAAAATCATGATTGACATAAAACGTTTAAGAAAATTAAACAGATATAGATGATATATTAGAAATATAAAAACATGATCATCCTGCAAGTATGAATTTTAGAAGCTATTGATGTGTTACTAAAAATTTCCAGTGTAAAAGAACGCAGTTATTTAGTAAAAAATGTGTAATAAATACTCTAATATTTGTTAACAATAAGTTTCAAATATGAAGTTTAAAATATAATTGAGAGGTTATTCACGTGAAGTGCATCGTTCTTCAGAATAAAAAGGAAATGAAATGTTTCTGCCATGTTTTTAAATAGTAACCGAACGAAAAAATGAGTAAATAAAGAAATGTCATGGGGCCCAAAGTCGAGGTTTTATTAATTTCACGGTAAATCCGGCCCTGCGGGTAAGGTAAGAAGTGACCTGTAGGAGGTGTATGTACGAGGTAGTCAAACAAACTCTTTAGACTCGATAATATCGTCAATTTCCAAGCGAAAAGCCATGAAAACGATATTCATATCGTGACATGATATTTACACGTACCTGGATGATTTTCATAGTCTGAAAATACCGACGGAACGCTGCCTTTACGTAGAAGTAACTTGTGCCCCTTGGCGGCTTCGTAATCAGCCCGTTTAAAATGTCTGTGGCAGACAAACTGACCCGGTGAAGGCTTAAAGCTGGCTTCGAAACCACCGCTGGCCAACCACCTGCTCCTCAGACCGATATCCTTCGGGAACTTGTGAAGTGGTAAACCTTTTGCACGCGCTTCTTGTACATCAGCTTCGCAGCTACGCACGCAACATTTGCGCGCCATTCTCATCGCCCCCACAGGCGGTATTCCTTTACCACGCGACCGCGGTATACGCCGCCGCTTCATTTACACCGGTACTACATAGCAACGTATCGCAAGAAAACATTTGCCAAGCTGACCGTCCTAAGAATAAGATCCAGCTACGAGAACAAATGCAAACAATTTCCGTGCTTGAACGCCTTGACACGCACTCTTCGGACTCAGAAGAAACTCGAATATTTTAGGTCGATCCGTAACGTTCGCAAAACCACTAGAATCATTGATACAACTTAGAGCACCATACTAATCGATTCGCACTTTCAAGCAACGTCGACTCGAATGGTTATGCCAGCATCGAAAGGGTTTCGATCGACGTCGATGGTTGTCGCTCTGCGAGAAATCGAGCGCATAAAGCGTGTACAAAAGTGTCTAGGGATATCGCAATTGGAAAGCACCCATAGTCGCCACTATAAACACATGAAGATGACTGTCATCAGTACCAGTTCCAAGTTCAAAAAACGGGAATGTTATATAATATAATTATTGTCACTGGAAAACACAAGTTTCTCACAGCGAAAAATATGAAAGTGTTTAGGGATATTGCAATAGGAAAGCATCCAAATATTAACGTGAAAAATAGAGATGGACAAAACCCTGGGCTTCGAATAAATCTAAAGTTTGTCGATGTGTTTGTCTTGTTTCTTTCTTTGTAAAATGTTCAAAAGAGGAAACGAGAGAGACATATCGACAAACTTCAAATTTATTCAAAGCCTAGGGGTTTTTGCCTATCTCTGATGTGAAGTGCGCTGATGTCAGTGATGCCAGATTCGGCTCTCAGTCGCGCATGCGCACTGGTTTTGGCGCCAGTAGAGTATCTAACACGACCATAAAATTGGCGCCCTTAGTCGCCCCGAAGAAAAATAGAATTATAAATGAAAATTGAATGTATTTCTTAGCATGCAATAATATCAATTGTGTGGATGAATTATGATATATGAATAATATAGCTTTAGCACTGCGCACTCAGCGCGAGTGGAAGCTTTGAGTATATAGCATGAAGACTGTATAAGGAGTTCCAACTGTGTAGTGTAGAAGTGTTATCAAAATCCCGAGCTTTAAGTTATGAATACTTCTACCACTCGCGGCACAAGTGAGCACAGCTACGATATGTATATATGTCATATGTGTACGTATTATCATAATATATATGATCATATATTTTGCTAACAATTTTCTAGTAACTTTCGTATGGAGTTGGATCTCCTTATACAGTCTTCATGGTATATAGACAGCTTTCTATATGTATACTCAAAGAGTGGGAGCCGAATCTGGTAACGCTGGCTGATGTAATATATGCAAATATGACACAATCACAGTACGGTATGTGCTTGTGAAATGTGAGCCGAATACTACCGAATCTTGTCGGAATAAATCGATGTCAGACGGGTGCCCTCCATGCCCCGAATATCAAACCGTCCCTTACCAATAGTAACAGTTTATGTTCTGTCTATATCTTCTTATGTCTATGGTCTTTACTAGATGTGGCGTAAACCCTGAAGTTAGCGACTCCACGATTACGTAGTCAAGGATACCAACCGTGTCACTATATCGTAACGGTGATGTCGCCATTTTCTTTACCATACGTGCGGCAAACTTCGCGTACCTCTGTGTTTCTGTTTGCGCGAAAAACGTGTACAGTGAGATGGATTAAACGCGAATCGTACAGCGTTATTCCGAGAACTTAATCGTCAAAATGTCGTTGTAAAAGATGAAAGTGACAGTCACAATTGCGTAATTATATTTCACGAGCGACAGGGTTACCAAAAAGTCGTGGATATGGCAGAAATTTCGAATTCCGCCGTGTTTACAAACGATGCATCTACTGGTGCTTCCGATCTTCTTCAACAAGCGTTTCAGCAAGTTGTCGATGACGACGATCACGATAACGAGTTCGTCGCATTTTTACAAAACGATGACAACGATTCCGATACAATTCACCTGACGCCGGAACAAGCCGCGGCTCTAGGTCTAACCTTCGAGGTAAATTCAAACGAAGAGGTTATGTATCACAACGACGAAGATAATGCTACTTCGCACACCAAGAACGGCTTCAATATACAAATTCAAAATTCGTTATCTCCTCAGAATGCTATAACGATCGATCATTTAAATTATCGACCTGAAGATGCACAAAAAACAAATGATAACGATTTAATTAAAACGGAGTGTATAGACTTCCAAGAATGGCATTTGCAAAAGGTTTCTGAAAGCGGGCAGCTCCAAGATCAAATAGTCGATAGCGACTTATCGTTGGAAGAGATAGATTTGACCAATAAAAATCACGAATCTCGACGAATGATCCAACATCGAAATAACCTAATTCAACAAAACTCGGGTACGCAGAGAATAGTTTTGGAGCAAACTAAGGTACACGCGGTAAAAACGGACGTTACGCACGTCAAGAATATCCACGAAGACGATCTGCGGTACACCATCGATGATGGCGTAACGCAGAATCAACTGAACGCGGCGCCTCATTCTCAGACACAAATCTTACAAAAACTACCTGTGATTTTACCACCTTCGCAATATATTATAAAACCAGCGCAAACGATATTGAAGCCAACCAAAAGCGTTAGATTGCTTCAAGGTTCGAACAAGCTTAACAACGCGACGGTTAATCCCATTCATACTGTACATTCGCTTAATAGCAGTACAAATCCTAATTCTGTATTATTGTCGAAAGCTAGAATATTAAATAATTTATCGTCGCAGATAATAAAAGCTACTCCTATAACGGCTCAGTTGTTAAATAACAGCGGTTTATCGGCGCAACTGTTAAATACTTCTCAGATTTTAACAGGGGCTTGCGAGATACAGAATCAGCCTGCTGGTACGGCGCATATTACTAACGCTATAGTAAACACTACATCCGGAACAACGCAAAATCTTGTTACCTCGCAAATACGTTTATCGCCGATTGTAAAATCATCGCAGTCGCTTCAGAGAGGGAACGTCCAACAATATTTAACTCCGGTGCTAAAAGGTGCATCGAACGCGGTCTCCAAGCCTAACCAAATTTTAACTAATACCAGCGTAGCGACGGCCATTCCTGCGCAGCTCTTAAAATCGGTGCAAATTCCTTCTCAGTTACTTAAAACAAAAACTACAGTTGCTAAAAAAGCTGTAGCGCCAACTGGAGTACAGAAAACTACGATTAGCCCTAATTCACCGGTAGTACTTCGAACTACATCGATCGTTAAATCTCAAGATATGAAAACGGCAACTATGAATTCAACGTCGATCTTGAAACCAACTCAAATGTCTTCTACGCCCGTATCTATCTTGAAACCGCAAGCTAAAATGGCATTTAACAATTCAACTAAGCAAAATGTAACAACCGCAGCACAAAATGCTTCCGCTGTCTCGAATACCTCGCAAAAAACACCTGTAACGCAACATAGCGGTACATTTGAATCCGCCAAATCGGTACCGAACGATACTATTAAACAAAAGCTTAATCTTGTAGCAAACGGCACGAACCTTAAAGCGAATAGAAAACCTAAAAGTACTGCAGTACCTGTTAAATCTACAGCAGTAACGAATGAATCTACGGATGCATCTAAGCCGCTAGGTTCTAGTGAAAATCCGATACAAATAGTTCAACAAGGTCAAACATTTCATAGGTACGTAGAATATATCTGTGTACAACGTTCTCGATGTTTTCGTACTTTCTTCATATTCTTTGTGTTTATTTTAGTATGCAGCGTTTGACGCCGACGCAATTGAAACAAATCGCTCATGTTTTGCAACAACGCAGTCAAGAAACAGCTACTTCAAATGAGAAAGTTGTGTATAGGTTGGTATACATGTTTGTCGACTGTTACTAATCTTTACATCTAAACTTCAATTTATATATGTATATACACACATGTATTCAGAGTCGTATTTCCCGAAGAACTGGACTTGCGAATTAGAAATCCGGGGAATTTGTTAAAGAATCGCGGTGGAAAAAGAGGAAGACCAAAAAAGAGTGCTATAAGGCCTTCGTTACTTCCACCTAAACCTCCACCAATTCCCGACGAAGAACAGGAAGAATTGAAGGTAGATTTAATTAATTTTGCGTATCGAACCGTAGTTGTTCGAACAGTTTAACATGTTAATATTTCCTTTAGGATGAAAGGAAAAAAGTTGTGGCGAGAACGCGGTCTGGGAGACTTTCTCGACCTCCAAGACATATGGTGCGTGATTACAAGCATCTCCATCATTTAGATTTCTTGCAACCCGATTTAGACGATTCGGATGGTGGTTATAGCGATTACAATACCAGTAACGATAAACTCGAAGAAGAAGAGTCGCCTAAAGAATTATTAACAGGATTAGAAGTACCGAAAAGGAAAATATCAGATCACTTTAGGTGCCCTACGTGTAATAAAATATACTTGGGACGTACTCGTATGGCGAGACATTTTGAAATGCATCCCGATCATGGCAGTCCCGAACAATTACCTCCTCCGACGCCTGAACCCGAATTAAAGCAGAGTACAGGACAAGATCCCTTGAAACGTAAAGGGAAAAAGCGAGGTCCTTGGGCTTACGTCACGCCAGAGGCTAAATCGGAGAGACGCCAAATAAAATTGAGGGAAGCGATTTCCGTATGCGAAGATCTCGAAATAATAAAAATAGCTGCAAAACCGGTACTTAATGCGCAATCATTATTCGATTTGTTAGTACTGAAATCTGAAAATAATGTAAGAAATTTTCTGGACGAATTAAAGAAATTAATGGGTAAAATACGGGAAAAAGTCGGAAGTATATTGACAATTGCAAATAATACCGAAGAATCGAGCAAGGATTTGATCGATATCAGCGAGGAATCACTTTGCGATGCTTTAGGCCTTAATCCTGGTTTATACAGAATTAATAGCGATGCTTTGAAAAAGGTTGACACCACTGCTAGTAACACCTATGATAACGGAGAGCCTCCTCTTAAACTTCAAAAAACGGATAATTCCGAGGATGCTAAAGAAAACGTAGAGGAACGAATGTCTAGCGGTTTCTCGGAAAGTTCAGATCTCAGTGTCTCGGACTTTTTAACCGACAGGAGAAACGATTCTATAACGAATCCTACTTGTCCAGAAGTGTTGTCAGCTTTAACGTTAATGCGAAGAAACCGCAGCCCTGTAAATAATACGGAAAATAATAAATCCAACAATATCTCGAAACTTTTGATCTCGAATCCAGAAATTCAAAGTCAAATTTCAGATAATCCTGGATTCCAAAAAGTGGATATAAATACGCAAAAAGTTTCGAGTTTTCAAAACACGGAAACACACAAGGAAAGTTTCGCAAAGCTAGGAAACGGTTTAGGACCGTCGAATTTCTGTAAAGACGAGAACAATTACGATCAATCGAAATTAGAGCACATCGAGCAAGCGTTCATAAAATTGGAACCAACGGAACAGCTTTTCGTTAAGGTGGAGAATGGTGCTATGGGTGCTTATCCGGAACAGGATAGTTCGAATTTTGAAAAAATAAATTTCGAAAAAAATGGCTTGAGCAACTTGGAAAACGGATCTCAAAATTTTGCTAAAGGATTCCAGAAACTGGTGTCTAAAATAATTCCTATGACTTCGCCGGATATAAGTTGCGCTAAAACACAGTCGACGACGTTAGATACAGATTCTTGTAAGATAATGCCTGTTGCGTCTGTTTGCAAAATTACAAATAGCATACCTTTACTTCAGGATACAGTACCGATAATTTCCAATAATTGTGATACTAGTATATTTGGTAACGCAGAAAATTTAGACATGTCAAAAATAACTCAATACGATCACATTGCACATTTAGATATTTTAAATACAAGTGGAGCTATTGATAAAAACTTATTAATCGACGAGAAGTTAGTCGAACAGTTGCATCTAGTAGACCAATCGAATTTAGTTGACGAACTAGTTTCCGAACGATTGAAAAATATTATGCCGGATAATATATTGGAAAACAATTTGATACCAAATAATTCGAATTTAGATACGGATCTCGATTTTGACGCGTTAAGCGAAGAATTTAACAGAAATACCAGAAGTTGATTCTCGGACGATTATAAGCAAAATGTTCCTAAGCAAGTTAAAATAATGTGTATAGTGTATAAAAATACTGAACATATACAATTATTTGAAATTGTATGCATATAATTACACGATGGTGTAGATATTTTTTTATAGAATTTTTGACAGTATCACAATCAATATATTACAACTTCCGTATTTGAATAAAAAAAAAAATATCAATATTAAAATAACATAATATCTTATATTCTGGTATGTGTATGTAAATAAGACTGTCTCTGTTGTATGCATTATGTGTAATATATATTTCGTAAACAAAAAGGCCGTAGTTAGTTTAAAAAATGTACGAGCGTTATATAAAGAAGCAAACTTTACTTTCATGTATAGTTCAGTGTAAACAAAATTTCTATCTGAACGTATCAGTATTTTTTATTTTTAGTTAAATAGACTTTATAATCAGATACAGATGATGCGACTAATAATATACTTCTTGTAAACAAAAAATAAAATAAAAAATTCAGTCGTATATTGTTGAACCAGAAAATAAGAGACTAGACTTGTTAGAATTATACATTGAATATCATGAAACGTACATATAAAAGTTTTTCATTTAATGGACCTTTGCATAGACATTAGTCGTACGGTCAATTACAAATATATTATCGTGACTTGTTCAGTTACAGTGCTACAAAGATGATAGTGCACAAATTATTTTGTGATTCAATTTTGTCTTTTTTATATTTAAGATTGCGTTAATATCGTAGGGTGGTACCAAGAAAAAAAGAATTGTAATTATATTATATTTAATAATTTCAGTTTGTCTGTAAACAAAAAATATTAAAAAACTGAAAATGCAATAACTTCGAAAATGAAAAGTAACTATTTATGAGTTAAAATGGATTATTTACAGATTTCATATAAAATACTATAGCATTGAGAATACTTTAAACATCAAAAAAATTCCATCCACATTGTTATAGCATTTATGTACAGCGGAAATTATTAATTTTGTATTTATCTGTAAATATGTATCATATATGTATAAGAAGTTACTGATATAATTAAACGTTAATGACACTAATAACCGTTAGACTAATTATACTAATCATGATACATATTGATTTTGCAGGTTTGGTTCTTTGTATCTAAGATACATTTTGTAGAATCTGCATTTGCAAAGAAATTTATAGTACCTTTGTATTTCTTTGTGATCTCAGGCACCAATTGTAAACAAAATTTCATTGTTTGCTTTGGACTCTGAGTATACACGTATATGTTAATTCCATATTTTCTGTTCCTTTTTTGTCAAATTATACAGACGGTATTTGAAAAACCACAAATAAATGAACATTCTATTAATCTTTGTTTTATTTCAATAGTTGTAAGTTATTGCATAATACAAAAACATTATTATAAATATTAAATCATTTTTAAAATAGAAAAATACTTACCAAATATGTACCAATAATAACTACAACTATCTATGTCCAGTTTCTATCAATAACGACTCCAGAACTGTCGTTAGATTCGGTGGTAGTAGTGGTTGATGCACCCAGGTAGCAAGGAACAACATTTGCAAAGATACTGTATAATAATGCGCTATGTCTTCGACAACTTTTTTTTTTACTTCCATTTCCTGAGAATACGCATTATATATGGACTCTGCTACTTCCCCTAGAAAAAATAGATGGATATTCCACGTAAGTATTTCTTTTGATTTGTTTAAACGATTACACGTTGCATTTCATGTATGAAATATAAATTATACATACCAAATTTTGCTGTGGGCCACGTTGTAAATAGTTTGTCTGTATTTTTCTCTAAAGATATTGTTATTTTTATTTGATGCATAATTTCAGCAAGATTCTTTACAACAGTTTCCTGTAAAACGATTTTGGTAACGCTTTGTTTGTTTTAAATATGAAAATATATATTTAAAATATATATCAATTACCAGACTGTCGCAAATATTTTCCAATTTGTCGCATAATTCTTGAAGAGTTTGAGAGTATGATTTATCTCGTTTCTCCAACGTTACTTCTTTTAGTAATACTAATCCTTGTAAATGAGCTGTGTTCCATTGTTGTATATTTGCATGAATGTCTGCAGTCAAATCTCGTATATGTCGAGCAGAACCTACCAAATTTCTTCCTTGTGCAGGTTTTGGAGACAAGATTTCTACGATATTCAATGTAAAATATGAATTAATTATAAATATAAATTAAATGTGTTGTTGTATTATATAATGAATTCATCAAAGGAGTGTGCATTTATTTATTTACCTTTGACAAATCATAGAACGATCGATAAGCATTAAAATTAACAAGCTTGATTACTTACTACTGACTGGAGAAAATTGTTCCTTAATCATCGTTTCTGTGTCAGTTCTTTCCTAACGTTGCCCAATGTGATCAAATTGAAATGTTTGAATAGGTAAACACAACGTTAATAAACAACGAAAACGATCGGTGCTTAACAATTGTACAATAAAATGCTGAGTATATTTATTAGTATTTAGGTATAATTACGATAAAATTAAGAACGTTCAGGTTTGTACAATTTAAAATAACTGTTACACGTCCAAGATTTGTGCAGCATGTAGAAGGAAGCGTGACTGGTGTATACTACGTATGTATGTAGATATGATTAATTTTAAATTTGCATACTTGACAAAGATAAAAAGCAAAGATGAAGTACTTTATTTAGTACAATGAATTGGTGCATATTCGAAATAGACCCTAATTAGTTAATCGTTGTGAAATAAAGTGTTTTTAACGAGAAGCTACCAATGATAACAATACTTCCGCTAAGAATCCCTAACCGTCCATAAAAAAAGAGAACAATCAGGAAATAAGTACGAAGTAAAGTATCGTAACGTTATTAAAGTAGATTTAAAGTAGATTTCATTGTGTCGGGGGCTGTAAAATATCGAATGAAATCTTCGATCATGGATATCTCGCAAACTTTCGCAAGATTTATACAAAATTCTGCATGTATTTTAAAAATGCGATACCATAGGATCCAGATGGCGCGTGTGTCGCGACGCGTCCACAATTATGCGGCAAAATCAAATTTAAAATGCCTTGCAATCATAAACGAACGAACAAGGCAAACAATGGTGTATGTCGTAATTCGGCAAATAAGAACCGATCGCTTTCATACCATAAACAGATTCAACTTGGAGCGAATGTCGTAATTAATACGGTACGCTGCATCATCGATCTTGAACATATATAAATAACACAAATAATTAACACTTTCGCTGCGGACAAAAATAAGTAGCTAGGGAGCTACTTCGCTGGCAGCTGTAATTATGATATTTTTTTTAATGAAAAATTTCTTACAAATGTTCTAATATGATTATTTTGAAAAACATATATTTGTGGTAACTTATTTTATATATAATATGATTGCCGAACAAAAAAAAACTGAAAACTGAAAAATAATAAAAACAACTATATATTTTCAGTTGGACGCACATGCGCGAAAGTGTTAACTCAACCTGACGTTTTTCTGTTTATATTCTATTTCTTTTGTTTTTGTTTTTTGAAAGAATTGTATTAAACTAGGGTTGGCTATATATCAAATACTGTAACCGAATGAGAAGAGACGATTTACCACGAACGATTTTAATTTATTTCTATATACAGGGTGTCCCAAAAATGTTGTGACACATTGAAATGGGTGGTTCGGGAGGTGATTTGAAACAACTTTTTCCTTTACAAAAATGTCGGATGGGGCTTCGTTAAGGAGATAGTAATAAAAAAACCCGACCAATCAGAGCGCGCGGATACCGTTGGAGCGCCCGTGGTAGTGAAGGCTACGCGCTGAGCGGCCGCGTCAATATCCTTCGATGCACGTCGAGTCACTTGTTCGCGTACGAGAGCGGCTACCTAGCGCGTAGCCATCGCTATCGCGACCGCTCCAACGGTATACGCGCGCTCTGATTGGTCAGTATTTTCCGTTAATATCTTCTCAACGAAGCCTCGGACAACAATTTCGCTAAGGAAAAAGTTGTTTCAAATCACCCCCTGAACCACCCTTTTCAAGGACCTCCAACATTTTTGGGACACCCTGTATATGGTCGAAGATCGAAGGACATTGACTCTGATTGGTCGAGGTTTTCTCTTAATATCTCCTTAACGAAGCCCCATCCGACATTTTTGCAAAGGAAATTGTTGTTCAGAATCGTTTCAGCTACCCCCCATTTCCGGCTCCTACGCGAGTTTTGGGACACCCTGTATATTCCTACAAGTCTCACTTGTAATTTGACTAAAGGCAATCAGAAATATTCACTGGGACGTATTATACGTCCCGCTAGGGGCATTAAGCGACACTATTTCGTCAACTAAGATCTAATATTAGCACGAACGCGAAAAAAAAAAAACGTTTCTGTAACTACCACAGGAAACTGTCGGATGATGCGTCGCGGTGTCGTTGGTTCTGTTGCTTTTGTTCGGAGAACGGTCGGGGAACAACAAGGTCACGCAGGTAAAATGGCAGTCGCCGAGCGGACTCCGGTCGCGTCTCGATTATAAGCTCTTACGGTCCTCGGAAATTACAGGAACCGCGCGAGTTGGACGAGGAAGTGTTGCTAAACGCTCGTCGAGCATAGTTTCGAGAAACCGTGGGTCTCGAGAGAGCGATATCCTTCGGTCGATGTACGCGTTTACACCTGGCTAAGAGTCGCCGACAATCTGGTTCGAGACTTCGAGCGTCGACCCGAGGAGCGCTCGAGATCGAAGAGGCTGACAGCGGTAAACGCGAACGATTCGCGGTCTCTCGCTTCCGAAACCGTTGGGATTCGAAATCGTTTTCAATGGGGATTTCAGTGATCCTGGATCCGAAACACCGGAAATAATCTTCTTCGGTTCCTCGTATTCCGCGTGTGACACCGCTTTGCTCGAAGCTGTCTGTCGAGATTAAAGATTGTTTTTTCAATGGGAATCGATTGATCCAGGATACGAGGCGCCGGAATAATATTTTCTCCAGCCACGAGAATAGGAGATCACGGTCGTGGAGAACGAGTCTCCGTGAACGAAAGTCGGCCGTTCGAATTTTCGGCATACCGACTCGTGGTGAGGGAATTCCCCACGACATCGGATTGGTCACCGTTCCCCGGGTGGCCCACGGACGCGATAGCGATCAGACGAGAGTGACGCAACTGCGCGGCATGATAACAGATACGGACGTTAACCGTTCGCGTTCACGATCTGATAAACGGAACGGAATTGTTCCCGAAGTTGGACGATTCGTATCGGTGGCCACGTCCGATTACAGTTTTAGTCTGTGCCCGGTCCTCTCCGCGGAATCTCGCTGGCAACGATGAAAATGGAGGTAAGTGCGCGGCACACGCACGCGCTCAGACCGAAACCAATCTTCTATTTGTTTGTTATTTGTAAATCAGACTGTTTCTCGAATAACACGTTAGTGTCAATGTCTCGCTTGTTGCGCAGTGAAAGAAACACGAAAGGTGACAAAGTGCGGTATATACTTATCGCGAATGAGATAAACACAAGGTTCCTTTTATCATTGTTAACGAACAGCGATACGTCGTACATTGTACGAGATAATAATACGTTATCTAGGGAATTGTTTGTTACGTTATAAACTCGATATGTTAACCCTTTCGACCCGACTTTTCTCTATTTCGATTCTATTAGATTCTTTTTCAAAAAGTAATTGTATCGAACTAGGGTTGGTTATATGTAGACTGCGGACATCTTTATGCGTTTATAGGAAATTTGAATGTGCAAGTAAAGTTCGTGTTATAATATTTGCGGAATAAAATAAATTCCTATTTAGATTTAATTTTTCTAGGCACGTTCCCGAAGATTTTATTTTGCATAAAGATGTTATACAGTGGATATAGAAAGTATTCGTACACCGATCAATTTCCAAAAAAACTGTGTAAAATTGTAATTTATTAACTTATTTTTTATAAACAATGACATTCTACATATTCTCGGAAATCTCTAAAATAAATATAGTACAAAAAGAGTAGCTATTTATGTAAGTTGCGAAATTAACAAGAAAAATACAATTAATTGATAGAAATATTGAAGCAATAAGTATTCGCACGACTGTTTAATTTTTAAAAATTCATTAAAAAAAAGAAAGAAATTTACATTAATTTATAAGTATATAATACTTCCTTCGTGGGATTTCTTTTTAATTTTATGATTATTGTAACTTTTATAAGCATTAAATTAACTAAATTATTAGTTATTGGAAGTGGAATCTTTTCCAGTCCTCTATTAGAACCTTTTTTAAAAGTACTTTACTAGAAATTTGATGTTTTCTAATTCGCACGGAGCAATAAACTAATGTGTTTACGTTACAAACTCCGCTGTAAATGGCTCGTCATAAGAATCGTCCAAATACTTATTGCTTCTACACTTTTACCCACTTTTCCCACTTTTTTGTTAATTTCACAAATTATATTAACACGTTGTTCGCCACGTCACCCGTATATACTTTTCACTGAAGAAATAAAAAAATTAATTCCGAGGATTAAGCATCAAAGGAAATGGATTTAAATGAAATTCACGAGTCTTGATGAAGTTACAAAAATAAATACCACGATAGATGTTTGATTACGTACTCTGCAATAGTATAAATGATATTTAATCCTAACAGAAATTTTCAAGAATATTTGTCTGGCAGTGAACGTGTTAACTAGTAAATGTTGTTTGGACTATATCTATCTTGGAGACTTCCGAGGATATGTAAAATATCATTGATCATAAAAAAAGAAGTTAAGGAAAGTACAATTTCACAGAAAAGTTTTTTGGAAAATTGATCGGTGTACGAATACATTCTACACCCACTGTATGTCAAAGGCTGTGTAGTTGAACAAGGAAACTCAACTGTAATTTTGCCGAAGGCAATCAGAAATATCCACTGGGAACACGTATGTCCCGCTGGAGTCGAAAGGGTTAAATAAATCAAATTTACTCTTTTCGTTAAAATATATAAACTGAATGATAGTCACGCATGTATTGCGATAGCGAAAGTACTATAGCGTCCGGATATTAACACGAGTTGACGCAGTCACTGTATAACGCAGAGGCGATTATTTGTTGGTATCAGCAAGAGTAAAAGTAAGAAAACAAAACGATAATGCTTGGCCGCGTACCTTTGGTCGATACCGTAATTACAGTGGTAATTTTTAATGGAAAAACAGATTTCATTATACTCGGTAATTTACTGTTCAAAGTATTTCACGAACTTTTTCAAACATCTACTAATCGGTGTCGCCGGGTGTTTGATAAACGCGACAACGTTTTTGCGTCGAGCAATCAACGAATCGCTGCACGTATCCGTCGTTAGTTCAATCAGCGTTATTATTACCGTCTTCGCAGCCTAACTAGGCCTTGAAAGCAAGATGCGTTCCACAGGTAGGAATTCGTGTTCTTGCACTGTTATTTGCCTCGAAAAATGGACAGGGCGACGTAACTTTAGATAGTATACGATAATACCGATAGAAAACGCGGGAAAAGAAAAAATTAGAAACGCGTGTAAAGTGAATTCACGTCGATATTGGACAACGACGTCTTACGCCATCGGACATCGTTACGTTTTGTGCCTCTGAGTATAGATATAATATTTATTAAAAGTCGCATCAGCGATTTATGGTTAGTTTCGTTCGTTAGAATTTCTTTAATAGGTTTACGTCCCTGAGGAATCTAATGGCTATTTTATCGTCTTTCTATACGGTTAAAATATTCCATCGTCGTTTCCTGTCTTTCATGCTTTCGTTAGTGTACATTCCATCGGTATATGGAGCTGGATTTCGCGCGTTTCACGAATAGCTGTGTCTGTTGTTATTCCACAAGGTTCTAATCGTCGCTAACAATGCTCGGCAAGTTAATCTCGATGTATTGGGAAATAGAAACGCGCACGACTTTATCTATGTTTGTTGTTTCCATCGATTTCCAAGTACCGCTTCTTCATTGATGATTCGTAACGTACAGCTGTACAGATACGTTCTATTTTCTTCTTTTTCGATGAATGACGAAGAAGCAATCACTTCTCGACATTGTAATTCGTTCTGTTTTATTTCGATCGTGCACCATCTCCCAGCCAGGTGTATTCGCGTCGATGTTTATCGATATAAATTACCGATTCGATCTGATCAGCGGTACTCCTAAAGGTCGATTCAGATTATACGACACGGACCGTCATGTTCCGGCAACGACACGACAAAACATTAAAATAGGCGTTTTAATAGAACTATTCACACTTAACAGACACCGACCTGAACGTTCCGTCAATGGGAATAGTGTAAATACTTGAATAGTTCCATTAAAACGCGTATTTGAATGTTTTGTCGTGTCGGTGCCGGTATGTGTCGTTATAGTTTGAATCGATCTTAAGATGGTAATTCGTCAACGTGATCTCAAGCCTCCGGAGCGTTGACCAAATACGTTTCTAATTATGCTTTTGCGTACAAAACGTTGCGTCGTGACTGAGAAAGTGCCTTGGAAAAGATGTCACGGTCCCGTCTCCCATTTAACCGTGTGCATTTCGAGATTTCCTTGCCTGAGAGTGGTTCGCCCGAACGAGACGCACGCGAATTCACACGCGCCATTGGTAGTGGTTAGTGGTGCTCTCGAAAGACTGGTTGGACGACTATTTAAATGAATTTTTACGCGATTTTCGCTCGACAGGTTCCGTTTTCAGTGTTGTTCCGTAGATTTATTTAACGAAGGATCTTGACCTCGCTCTATTGTTCTTTGATTTATGAGAGAATGGGTATAGGTTAACATAAATCTCTATTAAAAATGACTTTACTCGAAACGAACGACTCCCACAAAATCCGCCGGGCGACTGACTGTTCTTCGACAAAAAAGAAACAAAAAAGGTTAACGAAAAGAGCGACGATGTTCGCGTGCCACCAAAAGAATGCCGATCGGCAAATTCTTACAAAACAAAGTGTGAATCGAACCCGAGACACTGCCTGGCCCGTTCGCGATCGGCGAGCGACAAAGAATGCCTACCAGCTAATTCTTGGAATATAAAAACTGAAATTATAAATAATTTAAAAAAAAAAGAATCTGAGAAAAGATCGAATAATCGAGAAATGTTTGCAAAAAGGAACAGACGTTATGTATTTTTCCAAATATTAGGTTGTCCCAAAAGTTTCATTCGCGAGTTGCACTCAATTATTTTACGTGGTCGTGTTTATATAAATAGACAATCTAATTTCATCAATATTCGTATGTGTGTGAAGTTAGCCCCGCACTTTTCGAATTTTTAGTTTTTCTTTCTTGTGCCGTATTGTGCTATATTTGTGCTGAATTGTGCCGTAAATAAGAGATCGATAACATCGATAACAATTAAGAAAAGAAATCGAACCAAAATTATACTAGCCCCGCACTTTTGCCGAAACAAACTTTTTTTCTATAGAAAGATGCGTACCAACTTGTGCTACATCGCGCCATTGATAGAAACTCGTTATCTCTACTCATTTTGCAGATAAAAAATGTTGAATTTTAAGGAATACAAAATTTAATATACGCACAATTTGCGAACGGCGACAGATTATCAAGTTCTGCAAGTTGTGCTAAATTGTGCAACTTACAATAACACGAGACGTATGCGTTAAAAATTGAGATTAGCTCGAGGGTGAATAAAATTTAACAAAAATAGGTGGCGGCGATTAAAAATCTTGATCGTTCCGAATTTTCTTTGATTGTGCCGGATTGTGCTAGACTAGCAAAACAACTTTTCCTAATTACAAAATCTCGTCAGATCGGCAGATTTCGCGACGTTGGCAAAGTTAGGAATCAGACTTTAAGAATTTGCATTCGCATTCGCACGCGCTCGCGTGTAGCGGAGTGCAGTAACGCCTCGATAAATGCACAAGCTCGGGATGGAAAGTGTGCATTTATCATGGAGTTCCCACATTCTTTGATCTTTGCCGACAGCTTCGGCTTATTTCGCTTATTTCTTTCCTTAATTGTTATCGATGTTACCGATCTCTTATTTACGGCACAATTCAGCACAAATATAGCACAATACGGCACAAGAAAGAAAAACTGAAAATTCGAAAAGTGAGGGGCTATCAAAAATTTTGTTTTGTTCTATTTTCTTGAGTACGCTTTGACTTACAGAGTTCCGGTTTACGGCACGATACGGCAGAAACGTAGCACAGTGTAGCAGAATTTAAAAAAATCAAACATTCGGAAAGTGCGGGGCTAACTTCACACACATGATATTCATGTTGTAATAGTAATGCAGCAAAATGAATCGTGCACAATTCAGTAATGTAACATAAAACATAAAATATTGTGCATGTATTACTTATTAATAAAGCGAAAGAAACTTTTGGGACAACCTAATAGATTATCGAGTAATTTTGTTCACACGCGATGAACCATAGCGAGCTATAATTTAATTGTAATATAGAGTCGTATTCCAGCAAAACGTAAACGGTTCGGTATTTATTGAATTCCAACAGTGCAATTATCGCACTCGAAGGTATCGTCGTATAGGTACTGTATATTTTTTAGCAGCATCGTTGCCGTTGAAACCGAACGACATATTAGGTATGTGGGTCGTTGTTGCCTTTGGGATGGTTAGACTCGTTTTCAAAAGCGGTTCGGCAGGTGTTTCGACGCTGGGAACAACAAAGGAAAACAGCTGTTGCGTTTCTAGTCGCGCCCAATCCCGAACGATTATGATAATTATACCAATCTTTCGAAGCGAATTTTTTAATTCTTTCGACACGGTGAATATAACAGTATCACTGGTTTGATCGAAAATTGTCTCGAGATACCGAAACCTCCGCAATCCATGCGTTCGTATAATTTTGATGCGTAGTGTGCATGACTTTTCGCGCACAATTTTCTATCAAAAAGAAATTATTTGTCATCGCTAGACTGCGGATATTTATGCAAACTAAAATCTTCGCGAACGTGCCTACACAAATTGAACCTAAATAGGAATTCATTTCATTCTGCAAATATTATAACGTGAACTTTACTTTCAATCTTTTTTTATATTCTTGCATATTGTCAGGATGTTGTAGTCATCACCAAATATTCAATAAATGATCCCGAAAGTTTCATAAAGATCCGGTTGATCCATTCGTTTTGAAAAATTCGTAAATATATGCCTCATTTTCAGCGTCCTGAACCAAGTCTTCCTTTCGATTCCAAATTTCTGTGCTCGAAAGATTACCTGGTCGAAACCGTAGCAACGAATCGACAGTGATCTACATTTTCCTAAAAGGTTCACGGTTAACACGACCAATTACGTATGCATATCTAATCGAGCGTGCAGTCGAGAACACGGCGAGGGTCACTGACCATTCTCATCCATAAATAGACACCTATCTCGTTAATTTCTCTTAAATTCAATTTTTTTACATAATTTTCATAGTACTTTTTGAAATGAATTTTATCATTGGATCCTTTTGAATGTTATCATTGAAATCCTCGTAAATGACGAGAACGATCGAGGACGATTTTACGATCGTTTATCGCGGACGACTCTCGCGACCTCGAAATTGCGTTATCCTTGATCGAAATCGAGTGCATCATCGGTCCGGAATTTAATGTCGGCCATCGACGGTGATGAAAACCGGAGGATGTTCCATCGGCGGTACGAACGAGAGGCAGGAAGATCCGTGGCCCATTTTTTTTTAGAAAGGAAACAGGCACGGGTTACAGTTAAGCAGCGACGCTAGTCGGTGTTCAGTTTTCAATGAGCGGCATTCCTTGCTGCTGGCCGACTACAGCTGCTCGCCTGGAAACCCTTCGAGAACCCGTTTCGAGTAATATTCGGTTCTTACGCGGAAGTGCGGACGAAACACCTGAGCGAGCTTGCTTCCTTCGTGCCAGCTTTCCGTCTACCTTTCCTGTCGCCCTGTACGTCGTACCTTTCGATCGTTCGTCGATCGTTTGTTGATCGTTCGTTTCGCAGCTCGGTTGTCTCTCAACGCTCGTGGAATGATCCCTGTGTTTAGGAATCTGTTCTCCGATCTGTGCTTCGTTCGTTCGAGTCCCAGAGAAAGGTTGCTCCTCGCGTGTAACTCTGCCCAAACGAGAAGTGGACGATTTTCTCGATTTCAGAGGAGCTGCGTGTATCTTGGACAGGCGAAAGTCAGGTGAATCTTGTGAATTCCTTTCTTTTTCTTCTTCTTCTTCTTCTTCTTCTTTTTTTGTTTTAATATTGAAAAATTGTCGTGTACGTTTTAAAATTTGCACTCTTACACGTTGAGGCCAGTTTTAAAGAATCGCTATCGGCTGTGGTATCGATCGATAAAGCTAGATTAATTCGATGATCAAAGATAGCGCGTTGAGGTAGTTCCGTGAATTTTTTTAATAGATAATTTTAACAGAACATGGCTCGATTGTTCTTTGATTGAATACCAATCGATTACTCGGGCGAGCTATTATTCGTTCAAGGTGAAATATATCTTTGCGTTATGATTCAGACTGCGGTGTTTACCGAACAAAGAACGAGTTAAAGCTGTTTATCTCTTTTGTTCGTTATTTTTATCGGAATGGAAATTTTGTCTATCTTCGGTTGGAAATTACTACCGACAGCAACGGTTTTGACAAATAGCACCGGCGAACGGAGAACACGAGGGATTGAACGCATGGCGGTCGTGTTCAGCTTTCTGGAATTCGCTTCCCGTTAGCGAGAACGATCGTCGCGAGATGGTAGCTTTGAATTCGATTCGTTTCGCGGTTTGTGTATGTTTGTCGTTTCCTTTTTGAGTGTGACGCACCTCGCGAGGGATCAGGGACCTTTTACCGCGGTGGTTCTTGACTCTGAACGTACCGAGACTTCACATGTATACCTATTCTTACCGTAACGTTAACCCTTTGCACTCGAGACCTTTTTTTTCTGCTATCTACCAGCAACTCGAGATGTTTCTTAATGTTCTATTGCTATGAGTTCTAAGCTATCTAGATTTGAGAATAAGGTCACATTTACCTCACCGACAATCATTTTATTGACACTTCGAGCTTCACAGAAATGAAACCTAAAGGAAACCTAGTGATGACTGAAAGTCAACTCTCCAGTGCAAAGCGTTAATATTAATAAATAAACGGTGATTTTTACAAAGAAATTCTTAGCTCATTAAAAGAGATTTAACGTTAAAAAGGCTCTGATCTTTCCTCTTTGACTCCCAGTATAGGATTGTATCACATGTTTCTATTTTGTTTAGCTATAGAGAACTCGGTAGTGTTATTTGTGAATTTTACAACGATATTACGTTTAGCGTTAACCTTCCGTTCCCCTGGAGCCCCCCTCGACACCGTGACGGTGTTCGAGGACCAAGGAACCCGAGGATGAGTTCCGTTGGCTAAGAACCACTGTACCGGTGCAACAGGAAGGCTCGTAAACCGTGTAGGTGGCAAGGAAACTGGTGTTTAAAGCTGGTCGCACGGTTCGCGTTGAAATTAGAATCGTGGTTCAGGTTGTCACGGGGTCAGGTTGCACCGTCGTTAATTTAACAATCGGAAACACCGACTTCTCTAATTACACGAGCCTGTGCGACAGGAATATTCGTAAAATGAAAAAAAAAAAGCCTGGGAAGAAGGCGAAAGATTCCCGTAATTCCTTTCGTTCAACGACCATTTCTTATCTTACTTTCGAAGCCGGATGCATCGATAAAAACGATTAATCTAGAAAAGCAATTAACGAGCAAACTAACAGTCGGTTGAAGTAGAACTCGGATCAGTCACGTTCTCCTAAGTGGAGTCCACAATACAGTCGTTATCCTCGTTTTAGCGGTTATCTTCGATATATCTAAGGATTTTCTAGATTGATTCGTTCGATTGTTCGGATCAGAGAATGGTAACGATATCAATAAACGTATAATATTCAAAGAAAAACACGTGGAACTTGATATCGGATAGCGAAACTATAATTCTTGTCGAAATTCGTGTAAAGTCTTCTAATCTCAGCTGTCACAAGTTTACCAAATACTAACAATGGTATTCGCATGGTACTGGCTAGAGATCCTCGTGTTGAGACGGTTCGGACAATTCTCTGATTCAAAGGGAAAAGTAGTGGACTTTATAGGTTCGGAAAAGATAGAAAATGGAAGCATAGGAATGATGAATTATGAAATCATCGGTTATCGAAGGAAGGAATTTGAAATGTTTGCTGCTAGAGATTGACGGAGGATGGAGAAGAAGGCAGAGTTATGTTAACTGAAGGAAATACAAAGATTATGTTGGCGTACAACATATCTCGCACTACCTGAAAATCTACGCTTACGCTACCGTCCCCCGATTGCAATCCCCCTTGTAATTCTCCTAAAATACCACTCTAAATTACTCGCATTGATTGAATTACTGTTAACTTTGATTCGTTTTGGTTACATGGGACAGGCAGAGCACAGGTTGGAGCAGCTGAAGAAGGCGACCGACAGAATACAGAAGGAGATCGAAGAGGTCACGGAGAGGGAGCACGAGCTACGAAACGTGGGTAGCATTAAGACCACGTCCCACGAGACGGTGGATTCCAAGGTACGCTTGAACCTCGACGTACGTGCACGTAAAAGTGTGTACATGTACATATATATTCGTGTCGGCCGTGTTCAAGGTCGTTGAACGAAAGAAAGAAAGAGTGAGAGCCTGGCGTAGTCCTTGTAGGGACGGAATGCATCCGACAACGTAGACGAGACTGTATACAACGTACGTCCATGAACGACGAGGACGATTAGACGCGGTTACCGATTTAGTCGCTCGCGACACACGCGTTGCAGTTTCGTCAGATTACGTGACTAGAATTGTTCACCAATAAAAATTAGATCTGTTCGGGATACCCTGTACACCAGTGATGGGCAAAACCCTAGACTTCGAAGAAATCTGAAGTTTGCCGATGTGTTTCTCTCGTTTCCTTCTTTGGAAAATGTTCAACAGAAGAAACGAGAAATCGGCAAACTTTAGATTTATTCGAAGCCTACGGTTTTGCCCATCACTTGTACACTTCAACAACGTCCTCTTATTTGGAATCGTTTGCGTAGAAATATTTTCATACTCGTCTCTCGATACACGGTGGGTGTAGAAAGTATTCGTACACCTATCAATTTCCAAAAATACTGTGTAAAATTGTAATTTATTAACTTATTTTTTATAAACAATGACATTCTACATATTCTTGGAAATCTCTAGAATCGATAGATTACAACAAAAGAAAAATAGCTATTTATGTAAGTTGCGAAATTAACAAGAAAAAAAACAATTAATCGATAGAAATGTTGAAGCAATAAGTATTCGCACAACTGTTTAAAAATACTTTACTGAAAATTTGATGTTTTCTAATTCGCACGGAGCAATAAACTAATGTGTTTACGTTACAAACTCTACTGTAAATGGTTCGTCATAAGAATCGTACAAATACTTATTGCTTCTACACTTTTACCCACTTTTCCCACTTTTTTGTTAATTTCACAAATTCTATTAACTAGTAAATGTTGTTTGAAAGAGTAGTTAAGAGACTACAATTTCACACAAAAATTTTTTGTGAAATTGATCGGTGCACGAATATATTCTACACCCACTGTACATAGTTTTCGGTATTTAAAACGAGTAACTTGACGTTAACACTAACTTGACGACTAAATATGTATATAGATCGATTGCTCTTTAACGATGTAAATAAGAAATGATCTCACTGTATTACGTACTAACGCCTTCACGCCGGCGTGTAACACCGGTGGCTCACACTCGCGTGCTATCTGGTGGCGTACACCACCGGAGCCGCCCCATGGCGAGAAACACAAATAACAGGTCGGCGTGAACGCGTTAAAAAATGAATACTGTGAAATAATTTTTCATTCAGGTACATTACTAAAGGGCAACGAATCTCGGTTATCTATATATTTTGACAATTTGTCGAGTTTGTTTTTCAAATAATATAATATTGTATACGTATTGTATAACGAAATAATAATGTTCGTTCGTTTATTATACAAAGTTATTGCACTACTCCTTAGTTATTACTAGCTTATTTCCGTTCTTTTCATCATCGTCTTGCATGACTTTTGCATTATTTTAATACTGTTTGCAGTGTCTCTTACTTCTCATTTATCATCTATCAGATAGATTCTATCTCATCTTCTCACTCTAGCTCGGATACCTCGGGTTTGCTAAGCCCGTACTGTAACCATAAACACCGTTACAGCCCCTGAGAGTGAAATAATAACGTAACGTAAAGAAATGGATATATAAATATTTTTAATGGGTTTTCATAACCCGGCTGGATCTATGAAAATATCTTATCTGCTGATACGTTAAAGCAAATATAACACCGATTTTCTCACACATGACGCGATTATTGTAACTGATAGTAATAGTTAAAAATACGGCTTTCGCGTTACTCTATTTCTACCGTAATAATAGTGCGGATACAGTCGCGAAGCTTGTTTCAACTTTCGCGCGCTATAGGCTGTACAGCCTATATATATATTTTTTTTTTTAAGTTATAAGGAAACCCCAAACAACGGTGAGACAACTAATTATTATATAATAATTACCTTCCCAAGTATATTACACGTTTGCGTTATTTTGTCAGAAAAAGAAACCTAGTAATAAAATTCTCATTTCTTATCCGGCCACAGTATTTGATTTATATCCGATCCTAATTTAACACGGTTCATTTTTCGAATAGAAACGAATAGAATTCTACTGCCGACAGGTACGACGGATGCCGCAGGCTTTAGCTTCGGGCAAACTGAAGAGGACGACGTCCACGCCTCAAATCCTGGAAGCGGTTAGTCCGTTGACGCCGCCCTTAACGCCAAAGATGACGAACGGGGTGATATCGAGTCGCACCACCCCGACGCCACTGCGTTTCGCGACGACGCCGAGCCAGAAAGGGTTGATGCACAGGTTTCTCGCTACTCGCGGCAAAATTTATAAATCCAACACACCCCCTAACGACGTACTGACGCCGTCTACAACGCCCACGATCGCGCTCAACCCGTTGAGCATCAAGACGTTCAACAGGAGTCTCGATATTCAACTCGAGCCGGATGACGAACCCAAGAAACCTCCCGTTAGAAAAGGATACGTTCCCGTCGAAGAAAAAATCCAGAAGGAGCTGCACGAGATGAAGCAGCGCGAGAACGAGCTCAGGTGTGAATTTACTTTACTGTACAGGGTGGTTTTTTATTTTACGAAGAACAATCTGTAGGACACGTATATTAAGCTGGCGTAGCCATTTCAAAAGGCCAATGCTAAATTAACACGACATTTTTTTGCTATTTATCTGCTAATTATTTGCCAAGGAATTAATTTTTTTGCTCCAGCCGTTTTCGAGAAACAATGACTATGCTAGCGTAATATTAAGCCAGCGTAGCCACTTATGTATATCTCTGTACCTAACAGGGATATCAATTCCATTTTTGCAGCATATTTTTTTGCTAATTATTTGCTCTTAATCCACCGAATATGAATTTTTTTGCTGCAAGAATGGAATTGATATCCCTGTTAGGTACAGAGATACATAAGTGGCTACGCTGGCTTAATATTACGCTAGCATAGCCATTGTTTCTCGAAAACGGCTGCAGCAAAAAATTAATTCTTTGGCAAATAATTAGCAAATAAATAGCAAAAAAATATCGTGTTAATTTGGCATTGGCCTTTTGAAATGGCTACGCCGGCTTAATATACGTTTGTAGGACATTGGTATAGTTGCATAGTTTCCTAGAATGAGTGTAAAAACCGGCAATGGAGGAGTAGCTGAGACGATTCTGAACCATATTTTCCTTTGCAAACATGTCTGATGGTACTTGGTTTTTGAATTATTAACGAAAAACTACAGACCAATCACAGCGCCGGAATAGCGCGAGCTCTGGTGCGACCTGACCATAGCCAGCCAATCCTGACTGGAGCCTATGCTCTCGCGGCTAAGCGCGCGCCACTCAGGACCTGTGATTGGTCTGTAAGTTTTTCGTTAATGATTCAAAAACCAAGTACCATCCAAAATTGTGATTCAGAATCGTCTCAGCTACCCCCCATTTCCGGTTCTTACACTAATTCTGGCACACTCTGTACGCATAAATATTTCTATTAACGAAAACTACAGTTAACAATGTATGAATACAATGAGACAAGATTAATTTCTATTTCTAAACTGTTGAATGAATTTTGCTTCCATTCTAACATTACTGGATCGAATTGCAGCGGAGGTAAATTATTACGCGCATGTTTAAATATGTTGAAATGGATTCTATATGTATTAAATAATACATAATGGTTTGGATTTTTAGATTAATGCGATCTCAAATGTTAGCAAAGTCTCAACCGAATTTGTTGGACATCGGAAACGACAATGATTCTGACATTTACGACGGTTCGAGTTCGTTACGAAGCGGTACTTCGTCCAACACGTTAAACGAGGACGAAGTAGAGAAAGAAAGCAAAGGGAAGCACAAGGTATACATATATTCTACAACGTATAAAGTATTCTATTATTTGGCGCAATCTTTTAAGCAGACGTTAAAAAATTTACAGCCTAATCCACGACGCCGAAGCACCCTGATAGCGCAATGGGAGAATTTGATAGCTGCGAAGAAAGAGACTAACGATAACGGCAACGAGATTGATTTGAACGTTTAAAATGTTTCTACATCTTGTAAAAAAGTGAGCAACTAATTCACTCCTCGCTTTTCTACCGTTTGTGTTTGTAAGTTGTATTTGAAGCAACTTAAACGGATGGCATAAACGTTAAAAAATGTGCTACGTCAAGCCTTTTATTCTTGAAGCACGCACGTTTCTCGTGTCAACGCGTATCATCGGTTCTATTCATTTACTCGACTCGCGAGTTAATTTATTTAACATTACGAACAATATTTATTCAAGAATGAAAGCATTACCTGATCGATTATACGTTATACTTAGCGTTTTCCTCGTTTAAAGCTTTCAGTATTAAAAAGCTAGCCACGTAAACAAAAAAAATTACTACTTCCTTTGTATGGGTTAAAAATTATACTTAAGTATTGCAAGCATATATTCGATATATCCGCTTGTTATTTGTAATATATCTTTCAGTTATATATTATACATTCACATGTAAACGATTACGGATCCTTAAGGAACTGATTTTAACATGTGGCATTTAACGATATATCTATTGTTATAGCAACAATATCTATTGTGTACTTAATTAATTGTAAAGAATAGCGATATTTGATTTACTTGTATATGTGATAGTATAGTTAAAAAAATGATAATGATAAAAAACAGTTTATGCAATTTTTATAGAATTAATAAGATACATTTCTCAAAGCATGCCTTTTTCTTTTCCCTAAACAAAATTATATGATAAAAAATAACAATAATTTAACGTTGTACACGTGCACTTATTTTTAAGTACAACTGCATTTATCAATACCTCTACAATGAACATGACTTAACCTAACTCGATGTACAATGTACTTTATGAAAATATATTATGTGATATAATTTTAATGTGTTATTATGTAATAATAATAATAATAATAATAATAACAAATTACATAAAAATCATATCATAATAAAACTGCATTTATCAACATATACATATATATAGCTATATACAATGAACATAACCTAACCTATTCCTATACACAATATACTTTATGAAAATATATTGTTTTGCAATATCATTTTAATGTGTTATTATGTAACAGTAATAACAAATTACATAAAAATCCCACAATAATATAAAATCTACTTCGAAAATATGCTTTCTCTATGCGAATAATTACGTATCGACGAACATGAGCGAACCTAACGAACGATGCAAATGATACCAATTGACACCAATGTCGACGTTTTTCCACGTGTTTTCAAGTGACATATAGTAACCATGAATAACTCAGATATAACAAAAATAACAAGCTTGGAAATTGAGATTTTATTATTAAGAAATTTTGTTACTGACGAAGGTAAATAACTGATTTGAAACGATACGAATATATATACAGATAGTATTAGGTTATATTCTATCGTTTATATTTTCCGAGATTTTCTGTTATCGACAATTTTCTTCGTTTCAGTTTCCGAATTGCCAGTTTGTATAAAAAATATATTAGATGGACGATACGAAGATGTGATAAATAATGAATTCTGTTCGCATTTGATGAAATCATACGACAACGATAACTTTTGCAATTTGATACATACCAGTATAGAGAAAGAAGTTGCCACGCGTAATTCTTGGCTATATGTAGGCGCAGCTTCTTTGCTGTATTTTATTCAATGTAATTGGACAGGACCGCTAGACAACAAAGACATCGAACATCTGAAAAGTCAAGAAGAGAGAGCGCTTAAAGATTTATCTTTACATGATGAATGCAATACAAACGTCAAGAAGCCAGAGCTTCTTTATTTTTCTAAAATCATATTTTCTAACAAAGTATTACAAAACACTTACGAGAGTTGTATTTGGTGGTTGTTTAGAGCGAATCTTTTGCATCAACATGTATTAAACGAAAATTCTGGTGTGATATTTGACGAGACAGAACAATTGATTATCAAAATTGAGGATCTGTCTTTGTTAAAAGACACCTACTGTAAAACTCTGTTTTATCTTGAAGCTGCGCAATTCTACTTTTATTATAGAAGGATTCAGAACTCAGAAAAATATCTTGAATGCGCTCAGGAAACAGCAAAGTTAAGTTTAAGCCTAGAAGGTGCTCTAGGTAAACGTACAAGATATCAACAGGACGAGAAAGCCCAATTATATTTAAAAACTGATCTAAAAAAAGATCAATTTCATTTTAGACATTGCGAAAATTTACCGAAATCTCTCGACTTGAACGACGACGTTAGATTAGAACGCGTTGAATTTTCAGAAAATATAGAGCATATCCAGTTAGGAACAGTTGAAGAAGCTATTATATTGGCAGAATAGTAAGAATATATTTTAACTTTTTATTAAACTATTCTTAGAAAAAGGAATATAATTTACTACATATTTTACCTTTAATAGCATGCAATTGCAATTGTCGCAACCAAAGGATAAATTAATGGACGAAGAAGTTAAACCATATCTAACTGTACGTATTATTATTATATGAGTATTATTATTATTTCACTCATATAGTATCAATTTACCGAGAATAATTGTTCGATAGGCTGTAATAGATAGTACAAAAAATTGGTCTTTAAAAACGACTGCTCTTTATCATCGCTGTTCTCTGGAATCTGGTGGCAAAAGAACCGTTGAACGGTCGATGATGCAAATGGAATATTTAATACACGAATTAAAAAATACAAAAGTTTCTGTTGCGCATAAAATGGATATGTTTTTCGCGAGTGGCCTTAAACCTGTTTGGGTCTTAGAACAAACATGGGCGCATTTAATGCTAAGCCTGGGATTGGTAAAAGGAGCTTTAGATGTTTTCTTGAAACTCCAGTTATGGGAAGAAGTAATTGCCTGTTATAATACGCTGGAATTGAAACATAAAGTATGTTTATTAACTTATATTGCTCTCATTTTATATATTCGCAATAGATATTTCATAAGTATTCTATTAATAATCTTAGGCAGCAGAAATAATTCGTCAAGAAATAGCTAAAAAGCCGACAGTTCAGTTGTGGTGTTTACTGGGTGATGCAACTGACGATCCTAATCATTATGAAACAGCATGGAAACTATCTAACGAAAAAAGTAGCCGGGCCCAAAGACATTGGGGACTGTTTTACTTTTCAAAGAAGAACGTGAGTAACCGATGCAACATTCAAATTTATATTAAAAACATAAGGTCGCTTTACTTTTCAGTATAAAGAAGCTATACCACATTTAAAATTATCGGTTGAATTGAATAACATTCAAGAAAACATTTGGATAAGGCTTGGATTTGCAGCTCTGGAAATAGAGGACTGGAAATTGGCTGCAACTGCGTATAAACGTTACTGTGCCTTGGAACCATCGGTTTGTATAACTTTGTAATATTTGTAATTTAACATGAAATATTTGGCATTCTAAGACATTAAAGGTTAATGATAGACATTCGAGGCATGGAATAACTTGGCAAAAGCTTATATAAAACTGGGTGATAAAGAGAAAGCTTGGAGATCTCTTCAAGATGCTATAAAATGCAATTATGACCGTTGGCAAGTTTGGGATAATTTAATGATCGTTAGCGTTGACCTAGGACACTTTTCAGAAGTACGTAAATGTAATAGATGAAAAAAGATATTGAAATTCTTTGCTTCAGAGTTCAAACATTTTTAATATTTTGTACGAATTTTGGATTATTACAGGTAATTCGATGTTATCATCGTATTTTGGATCTTAACAATCACCACTTAGACGTGCAAGTTCTCGATATACTAACGCGGGCCATATTAAATAATATAAATGATTCCGATGGGAATCCCTCACAAAAATTGCTTTCGAAAGCTTTAGAGTTATTTGGAAGAATTAGTTCCTCCATACCTAATAATTGCCATATTTGGAGAATGTATGGTCAGCTTACCGCTCTTAAGGAAACGGATATAGATAATGAAAAAGCAGCGCAATACTTGCAGCAAGCACATCGCGCTGCTGTTTCAGATCCCAAATGTTTTCAACAAGAAGAATCGATACAGAATGTATTACAGTTATGTTCTATATTAGCAGAAATGTATTTACGCTGCGCATCTAATTGCGAAATTAAGAAAAAACGAACATTGTTAGCTAGTGCCAAACTGTCTCTCCAAGGAGTAGTAAAGAAAGTTAAAGATCAAGTGTGGAATAACGACGCTGTTCCAACACGCTTGCAAGAAGTTGAAGACTATTTAAATGTTGTAACAAATGAACTAAAAAATATAAAACTGTCGAATTAAATTTTAAGATGTTTTTCGAATATGTAAAATATAGAAACGTCGTGTATCAAAGTATATGTATATAAAGAAATGAAGTTTCACATCCGCTGGATAGCTATTGTTTCGTTTGAAACTATGTAGCTTCGTCAATGTTAACGATATCGGTATTTAATAAATTTTAACGATATTCTTAAAACGTGAAGCTTGTCGAATATGTAAAATAGAAAATCTCGATTCATTGAAGCATCTATATAGACGTAATCCTTTAACGACATCAGCGTTTTGCAACAAATTAAATCATATCACGAGGAAGTCTAAAAATTATAGAAATATTATCATACGGTTGATTCATAGTGATAATGTTACTTATGTTGATTCATAGATTTTACCAATATTTCTAATTTTATTTAGTTAAAAAAGGACGAACAAACTTTTTTAAAAATTGTCCTAATAACAGACAATTCGGAAAGTCCATTATACTTTTATTTTAGATGGCATTTGCTGGAAAAGTTGTGTTAATAACAGGAGCTAGCTCTGGTATCGGCGCTGCGACAGCTGTTCATTTTGCCCAACTTGGGGCGTCGTTATTGTTAACAGGTCGTAATTTGGAGAATTTAAAGGCGGTTGCTGAAAAATGCAAACCTAGCAAATCGTTTATCGTAACCGGAGAAATAACTAAAGAAACCGATGTTAAAAATATTATCGAATCTACCATTAAACAGTATGGTAAATTAGATGTTTTGGTCAATAATGCTGGCGTATTGGAACATGGAAGTATAGAGACTACTTCAATGGAGCAATACGATAGGTATAAATTTGTACTTTCTAAACATTCAACTTCTCAAATAATTACATAACAAAAAATGTAAATATCACAGGGTATTCAATGTAAACGTACGTTCTTTATATCATTTAACAATGCTTGCTGTTCCACATATAAGAGAAACTAAAGGTAATATCGTAAACGTGTCGAGCGTTTGCGGATTAAGATCGTTCCCAGAGGTTCTATCGTATTGCATGAGTAAATCAGCTGTCGATCAATTCACAAGATGCACTGCTCTCGAGCTTGCATCAAGACAAGTATACGTTATACATAGAAATCATGAAAAAAAAAACAATTTCTAAATCTTTTAGATAAAATAAAAAGTTTTGTGCAAACATTATACTTATTACTTTTCTTTATCTAGGTTCGAGTAAATGCTGTGAACCCTGGCGTTGTAATTACGGATCTTCATAGGAGGAGCGGTATGACGGACACGGAATTGAAGGAATATTTCGAGAACAGTAATAAAACCCATGCGCTCGGCAGAACAGGAGATGTTACAGAGGTCGCGAAGGCAATTGCATTTTTGGCACACGACGATGCTAGTTTCATAACAGGTGTAACTTTATCCGTCGACGGAGGGAAACATGCTATGTGTCCCCGTTAACTTGTACTCAAAATACCAATCATTGTTATTGTTATATTTATTATTGAAGAACCTGTTATACTTGGAATGTGATACAATATTAAGATTTACCTCAATAACTGGTTATTTGCTTCATTTTTGCAATGTACATCAAAAACGTAAACGTTGTACCGACGTCACAAATGCACGTACTACCTTAACGGTTTAGATTGGTAGAATTGCATTGGTACACTGGATTTTACCAATTAGAAATTCAAACACATTTCGCGCCAAATGTGCATTTGTGACGTCACGACAATTTGGTCTATTGATGATCCGTATTTCGTACGAGACAAAATTCTACGTAAAAATACGTAAGATTCTTTTGATCGTTTGCATGATGAAAGATGCAACTATTATTAATCGATTCGAGAAATTTTTTATACTGAAACTATAACAACATTGCTTTCGGTGATCATATCGTAAAATGCGTCGTCAGTTGAAGATATGATGGCATAGTAAACAGAGCGGGGATAAGTGTTGAACTTCAGATGTTATACACTCTATGTATTAAATCACGGTTTATGATTGTTAGCTCTTCGCATGATCAATTAAAGATTATGTAAGGTACAGAATCGATGTAAGCAACGCAATTGCGTGTTGCACAGAACTGTTTTTCTTTAATAAATCTGGCGTCGTATAAAAATCACGAAATTTAGAGGCTGGTATGAAGGGACTGAATACGATCGGGAATATGAGATTATAGACTGAACGGGGGACAAATAATCTGTAAAGAGAATATATTTTGTACAATTATTTGATTATTCAAATCTTTGGGCTTTTCTTTGACAAATTAGAAATGATTGTTGTCGACAATGCTATAAAACTAACGTTCAATTCGAACTAAGGTATACGAATACAAGATATAATTTTACGATAACCTTTAATACAAATTCATTTCACAGTTACGGTGTCCCTAAATTCGAGAATTTTGCTTTGTTAAAAAATCGATTGTACGCGGATCTTATCAAATAAAATAAAAAGAAAAAATTTACGCGCCGCATACTATCTTCGCCAATAATAAATCATCGAACACTATCTAAAGAGAAGTATATATGCACATGTGGCCGTCGTACTATCAACATTTTATCTTTAAAGTATATTTCGAGGCATTAATCTTACATTGTAGCTGCAAGTCTGACGTGACGCTAACGACGCTGCTATGTCTGTCAAAAACTTACCGTATTTCGTATCTGGATCTGTGATCAAAGGTTTTGGCAGGGGTTCCAAATCTTTAGGCATACCAACAGGTAGGTCTCAAAATTGACATTTTCATTAATTAATTACGATATCTCTGAATTAACGAGAAACGATTTGAAATTGATATCGTACCGCGGAAGGTGGTCTACAATCCCACATGAAACGTTCAGGATCATCAGTCCATTGGCTTAATAATAATTTCGTTCTATACGTACAAGCAATTACTATCGCATTCTCGAGAATATCGTAGTTATTGAAAATAAATACCTATATCCATTAGTTGAGAGAAAGTCTCGAATCTTTAGCAAGCATGCATTAGTTTGGTGGGAATATATTATGCCTACGTCGGCTGGTTCGCACTCGGTAAAGTGTAGTAACGTAACGAACGACTTCGTTATTGTAGCAGGATCAGACCTGGAAAGTAAAGCAATGGGTTAATTCTTACATTTCCAAGAAGAAAGTCACCAGCTCAGCCGCCAATCAAGATAACTGCTCGAAGGAGAAGAGCCTGTGATTGATGCCAAAGCTGGTAACTTTCTCCTCGAAGGAAAGTTAATATATATAGATAGATACTTACTGGCGGGAAAACAAAAATAATTTGGATCGAATGTCGTACTTCTCATCTCGTCTTTCATAATTTATATTACGAGAAATATGCGGGTACTGCAAATTAAAGATTTGTAAATAAAATGTAAAACATTTTAGCGACGTTTGACACTGAAGTTAATGCGTTCTATGTAATCGAGCAACAACCTTAATTGTTCGTAGCAAATCTTGAAGATAAGGTAGTCGATGCGTTACCTGGTGATCTTGATAATGGAGTCTATTATGGATGGGCTTCTTTAAATGGAGAAGTTCATAAGATGGTCGCAAGTATTGGCTGGAATCCGTTTTACAAAAATGAAAAGAAAACGGTGGTATGAATTCAAATATAAAATATGTATTGCGTATAATTCGGTATTCGATGTTTCACGGGTTTAAAGGGTGTTACATTGTCGATAAATTATTGTAGGAAGTCCATTTCCTCCATAAATTTGAAAATGATTTTTATGGAAAGCAAATTAAAGTAATTTTCACGGATTATATACGACCAGAAAAAGATTTTACTTCTGAAGGTAAATAAATAAATAAATAAATAAATAAATATATTTCTATATAAATTGTTTAAAGTTTAATTTACTTTCTTTTATTAAAGTATTATTTTATCATTTCAGTGGATTTAATTAAAGCAATAAATAATGATATCGCTATTGCCGAAGAGAAATTGGAGCAACCGGATATGAATGTTTATAAAAGTGATAAATTCCTACTAGAATAATGCATTTGTATAACAAGTAATATCGAATCGTGTACAGATTAGACTCAAGAATCGATTAAGAGATCGTTCGTAGAACATGAAAATAATATATTGATATCTAACTTGTTAGATTTTGAAATACATTTAGCTAGTTAGGAATATAGATATGTATAAACTGAATCCATGCATTTTGTTATCGTGTGACGTAAAAAGATGTAATTGAACGAAATTATTTGTATTATATTTTTACTGTAGCATTTATACATTTAAAGCTACATTTAAAACTGTACAATGAATAAACATCAAATTATTACATATATATACATATACCCCTCCCAAAAAATGATTAATGTTCAACTTGTTCCTGGTGATGATGATGACGAAGGTAATGAGGATGATGGAGGAGGTGGCGGTGGTGGTGGTGGCGGTAAAGATACCCAAGGCATATTCATTCTCGTAGGAGGCTGTGGCATTTGTGATTGCCAAGCCATATTGGGATTTCGAAATCTTAAATTCGGGGACACATGTGTGCGATTTTGGAAAGGTAATTGTCCTGGAAGAAGTTGTGGACCTGTATTAAAGGGAATTCTAGGATTCAAAGGCATTGCTGTGCCATCTTCATTATAGTAGTTATGTGAATTATAAAAATTGTGATTGATATTATTTACATTAGGGTTTGCATATTGCACAGATTGTAACGAAGTTGGGTACATCCCGTATCCATATTGTTCGTTACTTCCTGGATGTAAACCTCTTGGAATGGATGGCCAACTATTTTGATAAGGATGTACCCATAAGTTTTGCGACTGACTTTCAGTCTGTATGGACGAAAATTGTCTCTGACCTCCTCGTGGATATCCTTTTCTATTTTTTTGCGTATTTCTATTCCACGGGTGATTCGATTGCCAACCAGCGGTGGGACCTAAAAATATTATCATATCAGGATCAATTGTACATATTGACTTGGTACAAGACACTTACTCGAAGCACGTTTTCGTTTAGATGGAACGTCTGTTTCATTTGTATTAGTTGTTTGTTTTGCTTTTAATTTTTCATAATAAGCTCGTTCTTCTTCGTCATCGGAAAATTCCAGAGGCTCGTC